CTGAAACACAAGCAAATTTTGAGCGTCTGTTGTAAAATGTCTATTATTATCCTGCAAAGTGAAGAATCACATGGTCAAGTGCAACTTCCTGAGATATCTACTTCTCCCCTAAAGGTAAAGGGAAGAAATAAAATACTAAAGTAGAATTTGATTTGCAGCAATGTTCACTGGCCATTAGTAGCAGTGGTATCCTGGAATTGACATTACTGCATGGGAAATGGTCATTAAATAATGACTTTTTCAGACCTTTTTAAATAGTATGCCAAAAATATCACTTTGTGTTTCAGTTTGGAAGGATTCTTATTTCCAAAGCCATAAAGGGAATGCCACAACCTTACCCTATCACGTCTCTGTCTACATTCCTGAGATGCTACCATCAGCAGTCTTGCTCTGTGCACAAGAAAGTTATGCTGGGAGCTAGATGGCCGCATCAAAACACTAAAAATACTCCAAAAGATCAATGCCAAGAGAGGATAATTGTCATGTTTTTCTTCCTGTGTTCTGGAGTGTTGAGGTAGAAATGTTTGGGATGAACGTGTGCAACAGTTAAGATCACTTAAAATGTTGTCCCATAACTTACTCATTGATGTAGTCTTTTTCCTTCTGGTACTTTGGATAAATTTTAGAATAAACTTTACCATGTGTAGTAAAGAAATAAGAAATGTCCACAGGCAACAAACACTGAGAATTAGCCTTCGGAGGTAGCTTCTCATGGGTGGTGAGAGATAAGATTGGGGCAGGGTACTGGGACAATAGTGAAGGGAAGCAGACACTGGTGGATGGTGTGTGCTGGAATATTTTATGCAAGAAATATTGTGATTTACAGTGGCAGGAGTTCTTGCACAGTACAGATTTCTTGTAAATCACAGCACCTAAAATTAAATTTGGAAAAAAAAACTTTAAAATAAATCAATTAATGTTCCCTATCATGCTTAGATAATAAAATAGTTCCTACTTCTTCCAGTATAGTAATCACAAACTTTAAACTTAATGTGTGGTTTTCTTTTTTGGTCCCTTTCATTCACTATGCAGGATCTTGATCTCCAAATGAAATAGATGACCCTATTTCTTCAGAAATGTCATTTATATGTTTATCTACCATCCATATGCTTATTAATATGGTTTAAAACCCATCCTTTACCTCTGACTTCTGTCATTTTCCTGGAAACCTATTTCTTTTGAAGAAAGTCCCCACCACAGTAGACTCCTCCAAGACCAGCCCTGAAACCCCAGTTACCTAATTCCAATCTCACTGCTTTCAAACTTCTGACACTCGAGTTGGTGCCCCCCTCATAAACAACAGTTTCTTCCTGAAACATAACTGACATAGGACATGAGATTAGTTTCAGACCCGCAGCATAAAAATGATTCAGTATTTGTAGTTTCCATTTCTCTTTCCCTACTTTGGACCTACTGAGAAAGGAAGAACTACAAAGAAAGATGAATATTACCATTTCTCCTCTATTTGCCCCAAGTTGAAGTTTTCATTTCTTCCCCACTCACTCTATGCCTCTGATCCCCGTAAGGTTGAAGAGGTTATCATCTGGGGAATACAGAGATAAGTGAGATCTTATTTGACAATGTAACTTGATCTATGTTGAGTCAGTATCAAAATCTGTGAAGAGTCTGGAGAGCTATTGATTGATTATTTGATTGGTTTCATGGGAGGGAGCCACACCCAGAAGTATTCAGGTCTTACTCCTGGCTCTGTGCTCAGGGATCACTCCTAGTGGTGCTCAGGGGACCATATGGGATGCCAGAGAGCCAAGGGCAGCCACATGCAATGCAATGTGGCTACCCTTTGATCCAGGGCTCTGCCATCTATGGTCCAATCTAACTAACCTGTGCTCTATCTAACCTGTGCTATCTCTCAGCCCTTGAGTTATCCTATTTCTCTGATGAAAGTTATTCTTTCTTACTCTTTCTCACTTCATGATGCTGCCAGCAGACATGACTCCTTGCTCAAAAGCAAAAGCATTTGCTTTCTCCTGGTATAGCAAAAAAAACATTAACATTGTGTTTACTTCAATTCTTCCTGAGTCACAAGATTATGGGGTCAAGGCAAATGGGTCAGAGTATATATGCCATCCATACACGATTCTGTGTCAGAGCTGAAGAGCCCTAAACTTAGGGGACACCATTCTTTTTTTTTTCTTTTTTAATTTTTTATCAGACACCATTCTTTTATGTTAGGCTGCAAGCAAACCTGATTGACCTTTGTCCCAAAACTATCAAGTCACACTGCTCTCCGCTGCAAAGACTATCTCTGTGTTCCATGTCCCAGAGACCTTGTCTGTTGTATTCATTCTGAATCCCCAAGATGCAAAGTGTCTATCTCAATCACATCACAGCACAGAGACAGTATTTAATAATTGCAGGGTCCAGAGAAATGGTGCAAGGAGAAAGACCATTTGTCTGCATACAGCTCACCCCAGTCCATATGATCCCCTGAGCACAGAGTCAGGAATAGCTCCAGAGCTCTACCACGTGTGGCCCAAAAACTAAATAAACAAAAAAGTTGGGGACGATGGATGTGAAACTGGTCGTGGAAAACTGAAATCAAGCAACATGGGCTGTGAGAAACAAGGCTGCCAGAACTGACTTCCCTAACCCTAGATCCCCTTTCTCAATGTTTCCCTTGAGCTCCAGTTGCAGAAACCCTTTTGTGTGATCAAAAGTCTCTAGTAAGTTAATGTCTAGATCCTGTTCGTTGGTTTTGGGTTCCTCCTCCTTAAGGACAATGGCCTCCACCTACCACAGCCTTGTGGTTTGTGGGGATATGCTCTGTGGTGTAATGTCCCCCTCAGGTAATTAGCCATTTGGAATTAAGTAGGCCAGCTGCCTCATTTGGGCTGAAGTATTCCAAAGAGCAACTAAACAAAGAAGAGACTGAGAGCTCATAAATATTTGTGGAAGGAATTCATTTTAAAAATGACATAAGGGCCGTGGTGGAGGGTCACAGACGCTTTGAGAATGGTGGGGTGCAGTAACTTTGCACATTTACAATAAATGTGAACACCACCTAAACTATGCAAAATAAATTCTTAAAAGCAATAAAGCACTGTAGCACTGTCCTCCCGTTGTTCATTGATTTGCTCGAGTAGGCACCAGTAATGTCTCCATTGTGAGATGTGTTGTTACTATTTTGGGCACTGATTAAAAGCAATAAATAAAATTAAAAATTACTTTCTGTAGTCACATCATCTCAACCTCTCATGTATTTTCTCCATTTATGAAGACAAACCCCAATCTTTCTGAGGTTTGAGACAGAAGATCTAACAATCAGAGGCTAGGGAAAGGTCTGAAGAAAAGGTCTTTGTTATAACCGTGGAAGAGAAAGACTATGCTAATTAGAGAAAGACTCAAGATAGAAAAGAAAAGAAGGCTTTCATCGTTTCAAAGAATCACTTCATTTCTGGTGAGGTCTAAAACTTTGACCATTCCAATGAGCTGCAGCTCCAACCCCACATAGAAAATCCTGGATCTGATTCTGTTTGGAGCAGTCAGCATGAAATGTAATGAAATTCAAAATAGACAGGATACACATGCTCCAGAGGGAAGTCATTAATACCCATGAATAATGATAAAGCAAAATACCATCTGCCAGGATAATGTGGCAAATCTTTTTAAAATTCCAATTAGCCTATAAACCAGAGACAGGGAGCAAATATGCTCTCCCTGCCATGTGAGACCATGTGTCCATGATGTCTCCATTGCTTTGTATATAGACTCGACTGTGAGTGATGGAAAGGAACATTAGTCACGTCTGAATACATTCTGGAGAATGCATTCCTTATTCTTTAGGACATGGGTACTATTTACATAACCGGGTGGAACAAAATGAAAAATCACCAGGAACACCTATATACTTCCACATGTATTGTGTGGGAAGAAAAGTGATATCTGCGATATATTAATTTTGCGATGTATTAATTTTGCCTTAACAATGTGGTTAGATTTCATCTTTATGTGTATTTTGAGTCATAAATAATGAAGCATTTCTATCGTTCTGTTAGCCCAGGGAAAATGGTCTAGTTTATGATGGATTCAGATCTTCGCCATTTTCCTGAGCTGCTTTTTGTGAAACAGAGCAATTAAAATTGTAACAATTCATTATTAGAATGGTTGCAGTGCAGCCTGGAAAAAATAACATTCTTATAACCTAAAATTGTTATGCAGACAAACTACTCTATTACATGTCCTTTGAAACATTGCAAGCAACAAAACAACAGACTTCTCAACACTGTTATGTCCCAACATCTCTCTCCTTGCTGTGGTGTGCTGTAGTAAAGACAACACTGGAATTGGAGCATTTTCAGTCCTGGTACTTCTATATGTCGCTTGTATGATTTGAAGGAGTCACTTGACTTCCTATCCTATAAAATATCTTCCTTGCCATCAAAATACTATGGTAGGTTTCAAAAGAGCTGAATGTGAAAACGATCTTAGAAAATGTTTTAATACCCTCCAATAGCCATTTTTAATGATCATAACTGATAAAGTAGGGCAGAACTGTCTGCTTGTTTTAAAACCTAGTATTATACATTTTAAAGGAGAATAAAAAGACCTCTGCATGGGACTGGTGCCCTATTGATGCTAGATCAGGCAGTTACTGTTTAGCCAGCAGGACTATTGTTTTTCTATGATCTGTAGAGGTAAGGTTTTTATATGTCTAAACCACTAGATCCGACACTATTGAAGCCACGAGACGCAAACTACAAGTTAAACTTAAAAATGAATTTGTCAAGGAGTAAGGTTGCGGGTGAGAGGGAATCTGGGGGTCATTGGTGGAGGAACAGTATCATAAGATGGTAGAATTGGAAATGAGAATATTGTATGTCTGAAACCCTGTTCTAAACAACTTTGTAAATCATGGAGTCAAATAAGCACATTTTTTTAAAAAAAGAAAAAAAAGTTGCTGAGAAACTAAGACAGTAAATTTAGCAGAATGGCTTCAATTTAGATTATTAGACTAAAAACAAAAATTCTGGGACTTAGCATAACTTTAAATTATATATATATATCATTTATTGAAATATAAAGATTTTCATTTACACATTTTAAAACAAAAACAAGAACAGGGGCATTTGTAATACATTTCAAATTGGTAGAACCGTCCTATGAAGTTTACTTCTTCTCACACATTCACCACACCATTGTTTTGGGAACACAATGTGTTTTTTTCTCTTTATTATTTCTAAAATATAAATTTTGGACATTCAAAAGTGCAACAGTTAATGTGCCTGTGGGGAATATCACAGTTAAAAAAATATAAACAAAGGCAGTGATACAGCTTGTCATAAATGTTTTGGCAGTATTCTCCAAGTCTATATAGAAATACATATATACATATTGATGTATAACATCATTTTCTCTTCCGTCCCTCTTCACAAAAATAGGACCATTTTGTACAGATTGGCAGACCACATTTTAAGCACATCATTGATCCTTTAGCAAGTTAGAAATTATCTTTCTCGGGCCAGCTTTGATTGTCTTTATGGAAATTCAAAGCAGGAAAGACTGGGAAATTTTCATCTGGGAACTTTGCACAAGAGGAAACAAATCTGTGATACCCTGAAAACATCATTTGAAAAAAATTTTGCAATCACATACAAACAGGTGGGAATGTTTGTAAAGACTGGCAGGCCTGAGAATTCTCATCCAGTCTCCTAATGTCATGCCAGACTGAAAGGAACATCAAAAATGCTAAGCACTCACAAAAAGAAGGCTGTATGAGAGAGAGAGAGAGAGAGAGAGAGAGAGAGAGAGAGAGAGAGAGAGAGAGAGAGAGAGAGAGCGAGCGATAAACAGAATGCTTGAGCTATGATTCCAGAAACACAAATGTATTTCAAGTCTAATTGGTTCTACAGAACCTAGTCAGGTTTTCTTTTTTAATTGGCCAATCTGGCTCAGTCTTCACACTTACTATGAAAAGGTAGATAGGAATATTGGGCCTTGCATTGAGACGACACCAGTAGGCAGTCAAGTACCTTGTTATTGCTTCTCTATCTTCCAAAGCCTCACCTGCCAGGAGCATGCACCATGATTGCAAAAATCACAGCACATGTTTCATTCATCAGTCGCCAGCAACAAAACAGAACTGCACAGAATGCCAATGAGCTTTCATCAACTGGTCTGATGGTCTGGGTGGATGTGGCTGTGTGTTCTATATCTCACTCCTCACTTTTTATCAGAATGTTGAGTTGACAATACAGAACTGGATGACATCGTTTCAGCTCCCAACTTCGCTTGAAGAAAGGAAATTTGGTTTCCCCAGTCCAGGACAGTCCACTGCCAAAGCAAGACTTCACTTTCAGGGCCTCAGCTAAGACTGGGCAGTTCAATGAAGAGAAGCTATTGCTTAGACAGATGGCATTAAAGGTCACTGATCTTAAGCCTGGGGTTAAAACAGCTTTCTGCATAGTTGGCTTCTTACCCAGTACCAAACTTCAAATTATCTTTCTGTTTTCCAAAGCCACTTCCTGTCACCTATGCTAGTACTTCACACCTGATCAGGGAGTTTACAAAAATACAGATTCCTGTTCCTTCCATCTTCTATCTCTGATTTAATCATTCAGAATCTTTGGGAATCCTACTGACTCTTTGAGGTCAGGGTTTGTAGAATTAAGATATATCTGTATGTTAGGGTCCACCAGCATTTTTGCTAATAATTTTTATCATTGGGTAATAATGTGAGAAATAATATCAGGTATAGGCTTATGATGCCTTTATTGAGACAATTTGGGATTCAGGAGTTTTGTTTGCTTCAAATCCCATTATTTCAGAGGGAATTTCATTGTACATATTGTTTTCAACATTAGGGCACCGTTAAAAACTTTGACTTCCTGGAAGACACTACTTTTACTCTTCTCTATGTTCAACTAAATTTAATCCACTAAAACTATTACCATATTTTATAGAGAAACATATGTTATTTAATATAAGTGTCAAGAACTGTCAAAATTGTCACCTACTTAGTAAGGATTTTTTTTCTAATTGTGCTTTCTCTGTAGGGAAAACGTGTTAGATATTACGCATTTAGCATTACTGATTACAGTAGTATTATTATAAACATAGATTACAATATGAAAATGGGTTGTTGGGTCTCTAAATAACCCAAATCTATTAAACAAGGTTGGTTGGTTAATTATTTTTTTTAATCTCTTTTACACTAAAAAACAAAAGTTAAAATACTATAGTACCAGTACCTTTTAAGGTTCAAAAGTGGTTTTGCATGTACTTCTTAAAATTCAACAGCAGCTGATACCAAGTTTCAAGCAGGAAGTACATGGATGAATTGAGTGGTCTCTTAACAAGTCCAGAGAAGACAGTGAATACAAATCTAAACACATCCTTGGTTAGAGTTATTTACATAATTACAATGCTAGAGTTTTGTTGTAGTAAAAATCGCATTAAGTTGGATTCTCACCAATGCCCTTGAAACCCAAAGTTTGTCTTCTGTGGCCATTAGTTCTTCGTCCATCTACCTCCAAACTTGACACTCCACTGAGATGCTACTGAAGCATTGCAAGAGGCAATGCCGGAAAAGTTAAGTTCAAAATATGCCACTCATTCATATTTAGAAAGCTCCCTGAGGTCCTTGGTGGGGAACTTCTCTTGACACATCATCCAAGTCCTCCTCCCAAACTTTGCATTGCAATAAAGTGGTTTTCTTGCAGGGATCCCAGGGGGCTCTGGAGGCGTAAGGTGTTACAGGAAGCTGTCCTCCACCAGGTCCGAGGAGTCTATGCCAATGTCGTCCATCATGTCAATGTCTTCAATGGTCTCATCCTCCCTCTTGATGAATGTAGAACTGCTAGAGCCCGTCTCAATGGCACTCTCCTCAGAGGTCTGTGAGCTGGAGGAAGGAGATAAGGGGAAAGGTTAGAGGCCACAGGCCAGGTCTTTCTACTGTCTGCAGGACCACCTCCAAAGACAAAAGCCATCTTCCTGTAAGAGCTTTTGTTGTTCAACCACTTGTCCCTCTAGCAAGACTCAACCCCCATCATGCTGCAATAGGCAACCATGACGGAAACCACATTCACAGACCATCTTCATACTCTACTTTTTTAGGCTTTGTTTTGGGACTATATTTTGGCTTGGTTTTGGTTCGGGGGGGGGGGGGGGGAGTCACACCCCAGTGGTGCTCAGGAGTCTCCCCTGCCTCTGTGCTCAGGGGACTCTGTAGTGTCAGGGATCGAATTGGGGTCAGCAACATACTGTCCTACCTCTCCAGTCCCACATTTCAGTTTCTTTCCTACCAAATCTTTCATCAAAGTTATTGGTGGGCCTGAATGATGTCTGCTCTCCTGACTCATTCCTGATGGAAGAGAATGTAAGCAATGCCTGATCAAAAGGCAGCAGGGGATGATAAACAGAGAGATCAAATCTCGTGTGCCCCAGCCAGTGGCCATTTCTCTCCCAAACCCCTCTCCACGCGCCCCCCCATCCCCTCACCACCACGAGGACCTCTACTGCATTCTCAGGATTCCCTTCCCGAAGCTCCCAGAAAAGTACCTCCCCCACTTCCTTTCCATCTTCTCCTACTGTGAGTTTTCAAGAGCAGATAAAGGCTCTTTCTATGGGTGGATGGGTAGTTTCAGAATTATAAGGTCATAGTTGTGTGGCAAGATCCCCGAATTACAAAACACATTCCCTGCACTTAGGTTTTGGCCTATAAAGTGGAAGGATGACAGTCCAAACATATCCTTACGTGTTATGGTAAATGTTTAATAAAGTCCCAAGCCCAACACCTAGAACATGTTAGCTTTTATTTATTATTATTATTAATATTAATAAAACTCTTACCTCAGGGCCCAAATTTTGTGATGCTAGGAATATGTGATAGGGAATTATGCAATAAAAGACACTGAATTATGTGTTATTAATTGTTTGAGGTATATGATGCTATTATGGCTATGGAGGAAAATATCTACGTCCTTAGATGGCTTTGTGCTGGTAAGTTAGGGGTTAAGTCTCCTGGAATTTACCAGGTATCAAGATTTACCCAAAAAAAAGAAATTATGTGCATGTGTGTGTGTGTGTGTGTGTGTGTGTGTGTGTGTTTGACACTTACATCAATTATGTACATAAAGCTGCATAAAGCAAATATGCTATGTTAGTGGATAAATCTAACTGGTACATATGATTTGCTCTCAATTTTTTTGACTACTTGAGAAAAGAATCTTGCTAAGTCCCCAGATTATGATAATTCCTGTCTTCCTTCCCTTCATTGAACTCATTAACTTCCTGCCTTGTATTGTGATATTTTTAGCTCTATCTTTTTGCCCCCAAATGGCCATGATTTCTCCTCATTGTTCAGCTGCACCATTTCACTCCATACAGTTAGCCCCCTCTCCCCTCCCCCCGCCACAAACACACACACACACACACACACACACACACACACACACACACACACATTCCCTCCCTGAACTCCTTCTCCCCCCTCCCCACAGGTCAGGAGCTCTCAACTCTCCAGGCTGCTTCCAGCCTCTCAGCCCAGCCAGATTCCTCAGTCTCTCTCCCTTCCTCCTCAAGTCCATTTCCTAGCAGAATAGTGAGCCAGGTTGGGAAGAAGCCCATGAGGAACTCCAGTATATTGGACCCCAATGTATTTTGCTTGAGCACCTTCCAGTCAAGGTCCTGTGAACATAGTGCCCCTCACCACACCAATCTACCTGAGCCTAAGAAAAATGTCCCAGGGATCTACCAGGCTGATTCCTGCCTTCCCAGACCCTTTCACATTAATGATGTAACCGTGGCTTAGTCTAGCTGCTCAGGAGTAAACCCTGAGGACATCTAGGTGTGGCCTAAACATCCCCCCAAATAAAGTAATTTAATTAACTAATATGCACAGAAGCAGAAGGCAAGACAAATGGAAATATTTATCAGTCGACTGCAATTTGTGACTGGGTATACGTAAAAGAACCAAAGTAATCTGAACACTAACAACATATCTCAAGCTCTTACTGATCTATCTGTGTTCTATTGGAAGTAGAGATGAGATAACAGTATTAGAGTTTTGTTTGGGGGTTTGTTTGGTATGGGTGGTTTTGTGTGGGTTTTTTGGGTCACACCCAGCAGTGGAGCTCAGGGTTTACTACTGGCTGTGAGCTCAAGGATTACTTCTGACAAGATTGGGGAACTGTGTACAATGCTGGGGAATCGAACCAGGTTTGCCACATGCAAGGCAAGAGCCCTACCCCACTGTACTATCACTCTAGCCCTATTGTAGCTATTTTTAATAACTGTGGTTCTTTTATTAAATAGAGTCCTTATCTTTGAAGAGATATATACTAGAATATTTATTATTGAAATTATAAGAGGTCTAGGATTTGATTAAGAGTTGATATGGGGGTATAAAATATGGCTGTTCATGTGGATTGGGTAGGAGTTCAAAATTGCTGAAGTTGCAGGGACGGAGAGGTAGCCAACCCTAGTTCAATCCCTGGCATCCCATATACTATTCTGAGCACCACCAATAGTGATTCCTGAGTGCAGAACCAGGAATAATTCCTGAACATTGCCAGGTGTGGTCCAGAAACAAAAGCAAACAAAAATACTGAAGCTGAGTGATAAATACCTGACAGTTCATTACACTGTTTAATATATACTAGATAGTATATTAATGTATATACTAGTCTATATATAAACTATACTGTTTGCACATACTAGTTCCATAATAATATAAGATTTATTTTTAATCAGCAAGGAATTGCAATGGCTCCACCACTAAGATTCTAATTCATAAATCTGGATGATGCTTGCATATCTGTATTTCCATCATTATTCCAACTTGCAGCTGATGGAGTATCAAAGAGCCCAGTTTGGTCTCTCATCTTTCTTTTCCATTTCACAACTAAGAAAACAGCAAGTGAGGCTTATCATAGCCCAATAGTCACTGTATCCATGTGATAAAGGTCTCTGTACATGCAGGGTCACACACTGTTCTCCTAACCATGGGGGGTGGGCAAAGTTCATATTAGAATCATTTACAAAGTGTTTTCAAAAGTGACCCTATGGGGAGCCAGAGAGACAATGCAGGGTAAGTTAAGGCACTGGCACTGCCCATTGCCAACACTGGTGCAATGCCCAGTACCAGGCATGGTCCCTTGAGCAACACCCAAAGTAACCCCTGAACACACAGCCAGGAGTAAGCCCTGAATACCACAGTGTATACAACCAAAAGAAAAAGTGACCCCTGGGAACAACAAACATTCGAGAAAAAAAGACCTCTAGCTTCTGACCACAGAACTGAGTTTCTGCAGGAGACAGTTTCAGGGATTGGTTTGAAAGGGCTTAGTAGGCTGGAGGGAGGAATAAAGGCACAGTGGTGATGGTCATGGTATGATGATTGTACCCCTAAAGCGTTGTTAACACTTACCCTTTTGTAAATCAATGCAATCATTTGGGAGGGGGAGGGTCACACTCAGCGATTCTCAGGGATTACTGAGTTACTCCGCACTCAGGACTCCTGGCGGTCCTTGGGGGACCATATGGGATGCCCGGGATAGAACACAGATCTGCGAGTACAAGGCAAACGCCCTCCCCACTGTACTTTCGCTCTGGCCCCAGAGCAATCATTTTTTAAAAATTAGTGTCTAACTGAATTTTAAAAATGCTTTGAAACTAAGCCCTAGGGGATTCGTGCGACCCAGACCCTCTTGAACAGAAGAGTGCGTCTCACTCTCCCTAGGGCCCCTCCCCGTCAGGTGTGAAGAGCAAAACAGGTGCCCCAGCCTACCTGTGTCTGTTCCTCTTGCCTAGGTCCTCCTCCTCCTCTTCCTCCTCCTCCTCAGGAACAGGGTCGATGTCTGGCAGCGGGATGATGTAGCCACTGTCGGCGCTCAGCCGCTGCTCATCCAGCCCGCCCTCCCAGTCTTTCAGCTTGTCTTCCTCGTTCTTGTAGGGGACGCCGATGTAGGCATGGTCCGAGTCCGCACGCATGCGCGCCACGGCAGGATGGTCGCTCTTGAGGAAGTCGAGATGAATCTTTTCGTAGCTCTACAAACATTTTTATTGCACATGGTTAATCAGGGATCACTGAGCCCACTTCCAAAGAGAAAACATGCATAGAACTGATTGTGTCTAAACTTCCTCCCAGATTCAGACACCTGAGGGTCAGCTAGAGGTCAACTGTCCCCAGAGATGTCAGACACACAGAAAGAGGGCCTGGTGGTGAATGGCCCATTCTGATGGTCTTAAGATACAAAGTGCTCCATCTCTGAGTCAACAGGCGGTGCCCCATAAACAGACATCCCTTTTTTCTGAGACTCCCACGGACCCTCCAGTGGGTTGCCAATAAGAAATGACAAGAACTTCCCTCCCCCACCCCTTACCCTCACCCCACCCACACACCCCAGGAGACACCATTACCTGAAGTTTCCTAATCCTAAACAATGGAAAAACCTAACTCAAAATTAAGTAACATCGGTATTACAGTGGGTAGGGCCAAGCCAGGTTCGATTTCCAGCCCCACTTCTGGCCTTCTGAGCCCCACCAGGAATGATCTCTGAGTGCAGAACCAGGAGCAAGCCCTGAGCACCACTGAGTGTGACCCAGAAACAAAAACAAAAAATGAAATAAGAAGACCTGGGAATCTCTGATCTAAAAAAAAAAAAAAACAAACAAAAAACTATTCTCAGCCAAAGTTCCAGTCCCTTCTCAAAACCCTTTACATCAACAAACCATTGACTTGTGGTTCCTGCCTCTCCTCCACCTCATTGTCTCTCTTAGGGGAGTTATAATGGGCACAAAATAGTAAATAGAAACATTTCATTTCCAGGTTGCTAAGCAGCCTTCTCGGACTGCCGGTCCTTGCGGGGAGGGATGGGAAGACTTAAGTATGAAAAGTCCACAGAGTGAGAAATCTGAATCTAAGAAATTGAGTTTCCTGTACAAGTATGTCTGGGTCTCCTTAGCATCTCAGCAGAAAGTTTGTTTCATTCATTAACATATCCTGCTTGGTTCCGTGAAATTACATTTGTTCCTTTGAACAATGCTTCCTATTCCACAAAAAAAAAAAAAAAAAAAAAAAAAAAACCAGCTGGAACCACAGATAACAGCTGAGGTTGTTCCTTCCAGTCAGCTGGTAAAAGCCAATTTCGCCTGGATTAAAGTGCATTCAAATTAGCTACTTAATGACTGTGGGTGCCCTGAGACTTCTGACTGCACAGTAGTTGTGGATACTCAAACATCTGGCAACTAAAGTGCTTACAGGTGTTGCACACTTAAGATGAAAGGGAGGCTGTGTGGGAAGCAAAGGATGTCCATTCATCGTTGTGTTTAGGGGCCCAGGAAACAGTCCCTAAAGCCCCTGACACAGGATGACCCACATCTTTCCTCCTTTGAAAATATTCCTTTAACAGTGTAGGGACTGCTGCGCTAGTAGGTAGGACCTCATCTTGCACACGAATGACCCAGGTTCAATCCCCAGCATCCCATAAAGTCCCCCGAGAACCACCAGGAATGACTCCTGAGCACAGAGTCAGGAGCAAGCCCTGAGCTTAGCCAGGTGTGGCCCCAAACTCAAAACTTTCAAAAATTAAAAAAAAATGGAATAGATGTATTTCCTGCCCTACCTGGTACTTCTGTCTCCCCCCCCCCCCCCCCGCCCCCATGTCATTCCGTCCCTCCTCTTGAAAGGCCCAGACCCACCTTTTTATAATGCCCAGGCAGCAGATTCTCCACAATCTCACTGAGGTGGTAGAAGGAGGGTCTCTTCTCTGGCTCACTGTTCCAGCACTTCACCATTATCTCATAGCTGGAGAAGCAGAGAACTCAGAGTGGGCACAGGGAGGCATGTTGGGATGTCCCCACTCCCCAGAGCCTCACTGGGGTGGACATGGGCCCAGGGGAGGGGAGGGGAGGGGAGGGGAGGGAAGGGGAGGTGACTCACACTTCACTGGTGGCATGGTCAGGCTTGGCCATCCGGTAGCCACTCTTGATCTTATTGTAGAAAGTAGAATCCACCATCATGCCAGGGTAGGGTGTGCCACCTGCAAAGCCCAAGAAAATCACAGGGTTAACCAATGGGCAGCTTACTTCTAGTCTACCTGCAGCAACAGAGCACCGAGAGAAAACACTTAGGAGTCCATATTTTGAAGTCCTGGTTTTCTCAAGGAAACTAAAGATCATTATAGCCTTGGCCTCAAAAACTTAAACAGAACTTTTGGGTGGGTAAAGTCCAGACAAGCTAGATAGAAATTCTCCAACTTTAGAAAGATCATGGAAATATTTTTTCAAGAGGGCTGGAAAGTTCTAGAAAACAGAGTCTCTGCCTTTAGTGGAGGATAGGACCCATTAGCCACACACTGAGATGATCCACAGTAATTTCCATGGGAAGAAAATTAGAACAGAAAATGAAAGAGAAAGAGAACAGAAGATTAGAGAATAGAACAGTGCTAAAGTGTTTGCCTTGCATCTACAAGTCCCAGGAAGACCCCTGACATTCTTATCACCACCAGGAGTGATTCTCTCTCTCTTTCTCTCTCTCTCTCTCTGTCTCTCTCCTCATAGAAAATACATAACCCTGAACTTTCTTGGAAACCTGGCATTCTTGTCACCGCCAAGAGTGATTCTCTCTCTCTCTCTCTCTCTCTCTCTCTCTCTCTCTCTCTCTCTGTTTTTGAGAGAGAGAGAGAGAGAGAGAAAATACAGAACCCTGAACTTTCTTGCACACATTGGGATAAAGAAGTTAGATAAACCTATAACCTATACTACTATAAGTACGTAGCCCAAAGTATTATAATTAATTTAAAAATAAATTTTCTAAAGAGGCAGGGTAGAAATGAGGTGGGACCTGGAGACACTGATGGAGGGATGCCAACATTGATCAACATTGATGGGAAGGGTGGGGGTTGGAGTGCTATATGCCTGAACTGTACTGTAAAACACAATACCTAAATGACAAATAGGAGATGGAGACAAAAAAAAAAACACATTTTCTGAGAAAAAGAAGGATAAGTTCATGAAACATTTTATGTCTTGACAAGCCAAAGTAACAACAAACTTAGTTTCCTTTCCAAGGACTTCCCCAACATCTCTGGAACTCCTCCTTCCTCTAGGCTTCTGTTAGGTTTTTTATTTTGTTTTTGTTTTATGGAAAGTATTGGTGGAACCTCACTTGGTGGGACTCGGGGTTTACTCCTGATTCTGTGCTCAGGGATCAGTCCTGGTGGGGGCTCAGGAAAGCATATGAAGTGCCAATGGTTGAGCCCAGTTTGTGACTTGTAAGGCAAATGTCCTACCCTCTTTACCATCTGTCCAGCCCCATTGACTCCTGTTATTCTTAAACCCCTGCCAAAGATCTTTTCACTGAGAGTGGAAGTCTTCTCCCACATAAACTGACTGGAAGACCAAGTCATGCCTCCTGCCTCTCTTAGGCTCCTCAGAGACCTGTGTGTCTCAGGACCTGTGACCAACCAAATAACCTGGAGGTTTTCTCTAAAATGGTGACCAGAAGGCAGGGTAGTCACACCCTTCACACACACACACACACACACACACACACACACACACACACACACCTGCCTTTCACCTAAGCACCACTCACCCTAAGGTGAGTGAGGTGGAAAAATGCGTATTTGGTGAACCCAGCCCAGACACTCCCTTCCTTAGCCCGCACACATACACACAGTTCACAGTGAGTGCAGATGTGTGCTGTGGATCCTGTATGCTGGGTCACACCAGGTCTCTTAACAGGATACATGGGGAGATGGAAAAAACAGCCCCTCGCCCTTCCCGCCCTCAGCAAGTGTGGATGTGGGGCAGAGCCATACCGAGAGAAAAGATCTCCCACAGCAGAATGCCGTAAGACCAGACATCGCTCAGCGTGGTGTAGAGGTTGTCAAAGATGCTCTCTGGAGCCATCCACTTCACAGGGAGAAAGGTCTGCGGGAGAGAGGAGGTAGGCAATGAAACTCAGCACACACACCGGGGGTCCAGAGAGGCACAAACAGAACGGGATATTCTGCACCTGGTAAGAACTTGCACTACTGCCCTAGCCCCGCCTAAGACCACACAGCTCTAGTTCTGATGTGCTTTTTTTTCCCCTGCTGCAATCCTTGCAGCTTGCAGAAGAGCACCCGGCGCCTAGGAGGTGCTTGATGTATATCAGATGAACAGGGAACAGTCTGTGTTGGTCTCGTGTCCTCTCATTGAGTTATACTCCCAAAATATTTACTTCTGAACTTTGACCCTAAAGTGTAAGCCCTGACTGGACCTTTCCTCTATTTCCAGGTGTTCCTGGAAACAAAAATGAAGAACAGATGGAGTCATCTGTGAACCAGGAATGTTTTTGAATTATCAGCAAGTGTGGATGTGGGGCAGGGCCATACCCTGCCCCTGCCTTTTCCTACCACTCCAAAGGGTCTGGGTGGCCTCTTTTGTGAAGTTGGTCCAAACCTCACAAAAAAACACTGAGCTGAAGTGAACACATAAACTAACCACACCACCCTCTCTCCTGCCCACTAAGGTTGCTGGGCTAAACCAGATTCATAACCTGTATGCATGAGAGAAACTGGATGCACCAAATCCACTGATGCAACCAGGGTTTCACAAAGTCTGGACAAGGGTCAGAGTTCTTTAAGTGGGTGCAATCACCCAGGAGAGTTCTCCCCCAATCAGTGTGGTGGGGTGATTTGCAATCATACCTACAAGGGGCAGAAGTACCTCAAACTACTTTATCTGCTTAGAGGTAGAAAGTGTGGAGAAAAAGGTTTAAGTATAAGACTGAATAACTTTTTTTTTCTTTTTGGGTCACACCCAGTGATGCTCAGGGGTTCCTCCTGGCTCTGCACTCAGGAATTAGTCCTGGTAGTGCTTCAGGGACCATATGGGATGCTGGAGATTGAACCCCGACCGGCGGCGTGCAAGGCAAATGCCCTACCTGCTATACTACCGCTCCGGCCCGATAGAATAACTTTTTAAGGAACTATGCCACTAACATATATTTATTCCAAATGCTTTTGGGTTATTTAGGGGAGTTTGGGGGTCATACTCAGGGGTACTCAGGGGCTAGTTCCAGCTCAATATTCAAGGGTAGCTCCTGGTGATACTGGGTGGGAGGTAACCACATAGGGTCAAGGACTGAACCCACACTTCCTCCATGCAAAACATGCGTTCCAGCCCTTTAAGCCATCTCCCAAGCCCTCACTAAAATAGTTTTAACATTTTAGGTTAGAGATGGCTTCTGAAAATTTGATAAAAAAAAGAAAGACTTTTCTTGGAAAGGCATGAATGTGCACACAACTTACATAATAATGTGTAATTAATTAAAAAAAAACATGTTGAACACCTTTTAGGTGTTCTATACACAGGACATTATCCTAAGCATTTTATATGTATTCACTGATTTAATCCTCCCTGTTACCCCAGGAGTTAGGCATTATGATCACTTCCTGTTAAAGACAAGGGAACAGAAGTACATGGTCAAGTAAGTGACCCCAATGCCCATGCTAGTAAGCACCTAGACTCACACACAAGTAGAGAGGACGCAGAACCTGTGTCTCTCACACTGAGCCCCGTGGGCCCATTTATGAATCTCATGGATTCCAGTTAGAAGCAACCCCTGATTTAAGAGGTTCAAGTGAGGAAGGGAAAGTGTGCCAAATGAGCACATACACTGCCTTTTGACACGTAGTTTGAATCATGCATGATGTCTCTGGCCAGGCCAAAGTCACAGATCTTTACAATTTTCCCTTGAGCAAGGAGAACGTTGCGAGCAGCCAAGTCCCGGTGGACACACTAAGGGAAAAAAGGGAAGAAACAAAGTCATCAGAATCCGTGTGTGTGTGTGTGTGTGTGTGTGTGTGTGTGTGCGTGCTGCTGACATCATCACCTCAGTGGCACGACTAGCCATGTCATGGAGGCATATCTCAACACACTGTCCTGACCTTAAGAGCTCACCTCCACTGCACTCAAAGACCACCAAGAGAGAGAAAGTGCTGAAAGAGAGGAATCAGCTGCTAATGGCAGACTCCCTCCTATACTCTGGGGAAAAGGAATTGAGCAGGAGCTATTGCCACAGGCCCCTCCAAGATCTCGCTTCCACCTCCCCTCACTCTGAGACCCATAGCCTGGACCTAACTAAGTCTCTGCTCCCCAAGAACACTTACGTTTTTTGAGGCCAAAAATTCCATTCCTCGGGCAACTTGATAGGTAAAGCTCAACAAATCCAACAGAGTGAGGCCTTCTGAATTATCATCCGAAAGGAGGTTTTTGACTTCTGAGTCTGCAGGAAAAGAAGGATCATGCATCAGTGCTGTGAGACCGCCCGAAACAGCCCCCACTGGGGTGCCACTCCCTGTTAGGCTGGGGAGGTTCATCCAGAAACATCATCTACAATCACTTTCTTAGAGCATTTCCAGACCTCACAGGTGGGTTTCTCAACTATGCAAAGTTCTTTCTTAAAAAAGAAATGTATCTGCATAAACATGTTTAAATATAAATATAGAGATTCATACACACATACATACACATTTTTCCCATGATAAATATGCATGAAGATACTTTGAATAGATTATTTCAGGGGATGTTGTTTTTTTCTTTTTAAAACTACCATCATGGCACTGGGATTCTTTTATGAATACAAGCAACCATCAGTCAGACTAGAGAAAGGTGGCAACCTTGAAGATGGGGCATTTAGTCCTCGATGTCTAGAATAGGCCTGCTTTGCTCGGACCTCTTTGGGAAGATCTTTGGTTTTCGAGGAAGGAGTCAACCCAGGCCAACAGTTCTCTGTTCTTTTTCGAAAATGATCAAGCAAGGGAAGAGTAGCTGTAGCCATTCATATTTTTCCAGCCGGCAAGGAGAAGGCCAAGAGTGGTTTCCCTGCCAACAGGGCCTGGGCTGAGCATGAATCAGGTTCTCAGACATGTGGAGCCAGGTCCAGCCTGAGGAGCCAGGTCCAGCCTGGGAAGCAATGTAAACTATTTTTAACAATCCAAGACAGGAGAGGAAGTACTGATCCTGGCAACTCTCACTGGTGAGTCTTTGAGAACAAGCTTGGAAGTTTACCCATTTGGCAATGAGAAGTAAAGGGAACTTGGAATTACAGGCAGTGGAAAATATTATTGTGTACTAAAAACTCTGCAAAACAAGCCTTTTTTCCCCTCTCTCCTTTTAACGGATCTTACCTTTCTCTGACAAACTCTCAAAGCATTCAGAACCCAGAACTAAATTTAAAATGCAGCCCACTCGCACTTTTACACTGAAGGGCCCAGACCCCAAAATACAAGATCACAGGACTAGTTAGTATACAGCAGACCTAGTATGAGCAGCCCCCCTTCTGTGCACCCCCAGCCCCCACATGCCTGTGATTAAAGCAGAGCCCTGGAGACACCACCCCGAAGCAGATGTGGGGTGGTCCATGTGGTGCAGTGATCAGCCCGGCTCCCTGGCTCCATCAATCAACTCAGCCCTGACATGTGCTCATCTGCTTTGAAAACGGGCAGTTCCTCCTTAAAACAACATGAAATGAAACACCCAACACCCTGGTCTGAGAAGGTCTCCTCTCCACTCTCAACTTTTAATGCTCTCAGGTAAGGACCTGGAAAGAAAACAGCATCCTCACCAGATATTCTTTAAAAATAAAAGAGGGTTGGACTGGAGCGATAGCACAGAAGGTAGGGCATTTTCCTTGCACGAGGCCAACCCGGGTTCGATTCCTAGCATCCCATTTGGTCCCCCAAGCACTGCCAAGAGTAATTCCTGAGTGCAAAGTCAGGAGTAACCCCTGTGCATTGCTGGCTGTGACCCAAAACCAAAACCAAAAAAATAAAGTAAAAAATAAAAACAAAAGGGGATGTTAACACCAACAAAAGGAGACTTTTGTATCCGACGAAGAAGCACTTTGAAGTGATTCCATTTAGAGCCTGAAAAATGCATTACATGAAGCTGATTCTTTGTCTGTCTTCTCAATTCACAGGTCATGACCCTGTGAAAACAGGTCATGAACCTAATAGCATTTTGGCCTTTAAGGCACAGCACGACCTCACAGGTCTATTGAACCAGGCTAGCCCATCTCCTTCTGGGCATTTTGAGTTTCATGTGAAACCACGGGGAGATCCCAACCCCAGAGAGAGAAAGAGAGAGTGACCACAGGCGCTTTTACCTAACATAGACTTCTTCTTGTAGGAGGCCGGGCGGTCATACAGGGATCTCTGAATGTCCGAGTACTTAGACACCTCCTTCCTCTCCAGCATGGGCACATACTGCGTGGTGTCTGCCTGCTTCATGTCCATGTAGTCACCGTTGTTTTCAAAAGATAAAATGACGTAACTGTCAAAACAGAAAAGGTGACCTTACCCGGTGTGTCCCTCTGGATGGGTCACTCAGCAGGTGATCAGGGAACTCCAGGGGGCATGGGGGTGTGGGCAAGAGGGTGGGAGGGTGAGTAAACTGTGGAACCAATTCACACCGGTCTCATGGGTGGTCTGGTTAGGAAGAGGTGATGAGTAACCTCAGTAACCACATCAGTAACCACACCAACACACAGAGCTTCTTAACTCCTGAGAATGAGGAGTGGGTGGATAGCCTATGGGCTCAAGGACTCACTCTGGACCCCCTAGACCCAAGGACATCTTTCTCTGAAGATTCAGAATGAGGGCTATTGACAAGTGCAGAAAACACAATAGAGGAGGAGCCAGAAAAATAGTACAGCAGGCAGGGCACTTGCCTTGCATGCGGCTGACCCAGGTTCGATCCCCAGCATCCCATATGGTCCCCTAATCCCACCAATGAGTGATCCATGGGTATAGGGTCAGGGGTAACTCCTGAGCATCACTAGGTGTGCCTCCTACCCCCCAAAAAGAAAACATCTAAGACACATCCAAAATACTGGGGATCTGAAAGTCCTCACAAACTTATAACACAGTGTAAGATGATTGCTTTTAAAGTTGGTATTAGCCATCACCTTAGATCTACTTTCTTTCTTCCTATGCTTATCAGACCAGACCGTGAACCAGGACCATGGGACCCTGTGACTGGGGCGAACAATTCTTGCTACTCAAAAATGGCCAAATGTCCGCTGGCCATTGAAAATATGAAGCCAATTAACGTGACTTTAGCTGACTGGACAGAATGTCACACCTCCAGAGGTCTCTGTAGCCACCTGGAGGTTTCTGCAATGGGACTCACTATTACTGGCTTGATTTCAGCTCGGGCTCTGTAAGGAACAGTATCTCGAGCTTGGTGAGCCTCATTTACTCAGCAGAGATTAGCACCAAGTTGCATCTATGGGGGAAAGGGCAGGGCACACCCAGCGGTGCTCAGGGGCTCTATTCCTGGCTCTGTGGTCAGGAGTGACCCCGGCAGTGCTTAGGAGACCGTATGGGGTGCTAGGGAAGTGCTTTAACCTCCTTACTATCTCTGTAACCTCTACATTGCATTTTATAGGTGCTAAGGAAACCAGACATAAATAGCAGAACGTTTTCAACTCACTCTCACAGAAACCTACTGGCAAGGTCTCCCCACATATTACCCCAGTTAAAAACAACAACAGGGGCTGAAGAGATAGCACAGCAGGTAGGGCGTTTGCCTTGCACTCGGCAAACCTGGGTTCGATTCCCAGCATCCCATATGGTCCCCTGAGAACCACCAGGAGTAACTCCTGAGTGCAGAGCCAGGACTAACCCCTGTGCATCGCCAGGTGTGACCCAAAAGGCAAATAAAATTAAATAAATAAATAAATAAAAATTAAAATAAAAAAAACCCAACAACAACATATAGGGAACTGGAGGACCAGAGAGACAATATCATGGGTAGGAAACTTGCCTTGCACACACCCAACCCTGGTTCAATCCCCAGCAACCCATGTAGACCCAAGTTCTGCCAGGACTGACCCCTAAGCACAGAGTCAGGACATTGCCTCCCAAACAAAAGAAACCCTTACAAACATCACATATCTGCTGGCACCTCATCACGAGCTAGTGGAGCCGGGTAGTTGGATTCTTATGTCATTATTACCTTCTAGCACTAAAAGCGGCGAGCCCTATCAGGACCGAGGTTCTCTTCCCCTGTGAGATCCCCAAGACAAAGATTCATAGCAATGCCTCTCTTTACACCCACCTTCGTGTGCTTTCATCAGCAGGGTTTAATCCAAAGATGTCCAGCTCTTTCTTTGGCTTCTCTGGGTGGCGGCTGAGGAAGCTGTCCCTATTCTTATGCAAATAGTTGACCAGATCCCCATAGAAGCAGTACTCAGTAATGATGTAAATGGGGCCTGTGGGAAGCAAAACTAGTTAGGAGGGCCAACCTTCCACTTTTGAGCAATTGCTCCAAGGATCCAAAAACACTACTTCAAAAAGACATCTGTGCTCCTATGTTTATTCATTGCAGCCTAACTCACAGGCAAATCTGGAAACAACCTGAGTGCCCAAGAACAGAGAAGTGGATAAAGAAATTGTGGTTAACACACAATAAAATACTACTTAACTATAAGAAAAGATAAAATCATGGAGTTTTACCACTGCATGGATGGAACTTGGGGTATCACGCGGAGCCAGAGGGAGTGGGTCAGTTACAGAATAATCTCTTTCATATGTGGCAGTAGAAACTATGAACTCAGCAGTAGTTCTATAGAACTGAGCTTTCCCAGGGGGAGGGAAAGGAAAGGAATATACAGAGGAGACACTGATCAAAGTAGGGGGAAAGTGGACACTCTCATGAACGATATTGGAAAAATGTATCCAGGAAATGTTATTATGAACAATACTGTAAATCACTGTCTATATCATTTTTAAAGTTGTTTTAAGACAGGAAATGCCAGAAAAATGGAGCTGTAGAGACCGTGTAGTGAGTATGGTGCTTGCTTTCAAGCAGTCAACCAGGTTCAACCCCAGCACCCTGAGACCACTGGGAGTGATCCCCAAGCACAGAGCGAGCCAGGAGTAAGCCCTGAGCAGAGCCATTTTTGTTTCTTGTTGTTATTGCTGTTTGGGAGTGTGGCCCCCCAAAAACAAAAATAAAAGCCAGAAAAGGTATGAATCTCTAAGTTTGTACTGGCTGGAGGTGGTGTTCAAAAAACAGTGAGCTTCTGTCAATTCAATCACATCAACTCCATCAAGGAACTCACATTTGCTTCCACATTTGGAGTGCAGAAATGATGCTAAAAGGCTGCATGGGGCCAGGAAATAGTACAGTGTTTAGGGCACATGCTTGCTTTGACTCCCTGTGCCAGATCATTCCGGTGTACCACCAGGCTGGCCCGGGGACCTCCCAAGCACCTCAGGGCCCAAGGAGCACCACATCCTTAGGCCCTTGCATTGAACCACTGGTCTGGTTGACTAGAATTACTAAGAGGTTGGGCATTATAGGGGAACAGGCGGCTGGGTCTCCTAAGCATTGCAGGAGCCCCACCCCTCCAAAAAAATTTCAGAGAACCCTACAGTCCTCACCCCATAGATATTCCATGTAAGCCTTCCTTCCCAGGCGAATACACCTACCTGACTTGGTACAGGCTCCCAGCAAGTTGACAATATTTAAGTGTGGTCCCAAGTGAGTCATTATTTTCAATTCTGACATGAGAGCTTGCTTTTCACTGGATCTGGCTGTGGCTGTTGAAATAAGTTCCATATCAGTTCAACTGGGAGATACCTACTTCCAAGAGAAAGCCAAGAATGTGCCTAACTCCGTAACTGGATATCATGCTATTTACAAAGAGTCTAAAATAAAAACAGTCTAATCTGTTTTTATTTTACACCAATCTACACCATCTACGAATACAGAATCCTTGACTTTAAGGCAATAAAAGAGGCCACTAGAGAGAACTCGAGACAAGAACAGCTTAAAAATATATCTAAGAACTAGAAGAGCATCTTATACAACAAAGCCTCAAGTAGAAAGACCCAAGATCTCAAGATCTAGTCCCATAGTTGGCATTTACTGGTTGTGTGATTTTTAAGCAAGTCATAATATCTCCATGTGCAAATAAAAAAAAAATTCCTCAGGAAAGGCACTTACGTTTTAGCATCTTCACTGCTACTTTCATGACAGGCTGGGACCGGCTTAATCCATAGGCAGTTCCTTCAACCACTTTTCCAAAGGCACCAGATCCCAGGATCCGACCTGCAGGCAACCAGAATCAGCCATTAGGGCACACAGAGGCCAGCCTTCCCTCCTCTTTACTTACTAGGGCCAGCACTCAGCTGTGCACAGCTGGGTGGTGTTTCTCCTGTAGGGAATAAGCATAATGATTCCTCTAAGACATGGTGTCAAAACCAGACTTGAGCCCACAGGGAAGGAAATTAGTATAATTGCTTTTGTCAAATAACATTTGCAAAGGAAGGAAAACACAGCCAGGAGAAGGGAGGGAGAAGGCCTCCCGGGACGAGTGCTCCGTCTACCAGCTCATGCGCAGAGTTGGAGGAACCATGGCACTTGCTTTCTTTGACTGGAGCCCAAGCCCTCTGGTTCTCTGCCCTTCTGTTTTCCACTTGCAAACAGGGACATATTTTGCAACAATAAATCCCTTCCCACTGGAAATCCTTCCATATTCAAGAGAACGCTGGTTCCAAGGAGTGAGGAAGTCAACTTAGAGCGGATGGCATGGCAAGCTCTCCGGGCTGCCTGATTCTAAGGAAGAAAGGGAATAGCTAACATGTCCCAGGAGCACAGGACAAAGAAAAGGAAGCCATGAGCTTTGCTCTCCCAGACCTCACGGTTTACCAGGGACACTTCCTTGAATAGTCAATTCCACCAAACAAAGCCAGAAAAAAAAACTTGCTCAAAAGACACAAACAGAAAAGCACTGCTGTTGACAGCCTGCGGGGCCTGGTTGGAAATGATGATTGTAAAGAGATGGCTTCCCTGGCAACATGGGAATATACCAGAGCAGAAAGATACAGCAATGCCTCTGGGCCCATCAGGGCTATTGCTCTTCCCCCCACCACCATGGTTTATTTCTTTTAAATTTCTGAGGTCCTTGTCCCTTCTTTTGTAAAACAGGGGAAGGTATAAAGAAAATTTAGGTCCCAAGTAGAAGCATTTAGGGGGCTAGAGAGAGAGTACAGCAGGTAGGATGCTTGCCTTGAACCCTGTCAACCCAGGTTCAATCTCCAGCACCCCATAAGATCTCCCATGCTCCACCAGGAGTGATCCCTGAGCTCAGAGCTCAGAAGTAACACCCTGAACATTGCAAGGTGGGGGCCCATAAGCCAAAAGAATAAAGAAAAAAGAGAAGCAACGCATAAGGGAAAAAAAGAAGCAGCAGTATCTGAAACTGAGAACAGCTAGGCTGTATTTTTTCGTTTGCTGCTTTCAGTGTAAATAATCTTTAAGACAAGGTCTTCAACCACTTCCAGTTGGCAGGTACAGCAAGTTGAAAACAACTGGTCTACCATCTTGGTTCTAACTACCAACCCATGGACCAGTTGATGTACAGATGCAATAAGGTTGAAGAACGCTGCTCTAGGGGATGTGGATGCGTCAAAGGGCTGGAGCCCATACTCTGCCTGCAGGAGCCTCATGTCCAACCCAGTCTCAATGCATGGTTACACAAAAATCGTTTAAAGCAAACCTAAGCACTGAGCTGGGAGTGGTGGCTGAGCACTGCCCTATGTGACACAAAATCCCAAATAAATTGATAAATAAAATTCCCCTCTAAAGACTTAAATTTGCATTACTTTGAAATGAAATAGGAGAATAATTAAAATCTGCCTTGGGTCTCTTCTGAAGTATACACCATTAGAATATTTATGGTGACACAACTTCTAGCTCTAACTTTCATTTGTCTTTGTCCTGTTTTTGTTCATTCCAAAGAATTTTTTTTTAATTTTTTAGATGAGATCGGACGCATTCAGGTTGATATGGCTTAGTTGTTTTGTTTTGGTTTTTAGTATTTTATTTATTTTTTGAGGGTTATTTATATATTTATTTATTGAATCACAGTGAGATACACAGTTACAAAGTTGTTCAAGACTCAGTTTCAGTCATGTTCCAGCACCCGTCACTTCACCAGTGTACATTTCCCACCACCAATGTCCCCAGTTTCCCTCCCGCTCCTCAACCCCCAGCCTCTATAGCAGGCACTTCAAAAAAATCTTTTTTTAATATTTTGGACTTAAGTTTCTATACACTTGGTTTCAGTCCTAGAAATAAGTATTTGAAAAGGTTGGAATATATTGACTTGATTATGTTTACATTTGCCTTCAAAATGTATTTTTACATTTTGTATTCTAACGAAGTATTTAATGCATCCTCAGAATATACTGGATCAAAATATAGTTTGTGTTTGTCTTCATTCCTTCCTCATCTGTTCCTTTTTAGTCACAGAAATTCATCTCATTTCCAATTTGTGTCATTTCCAAAGCAATGCCATTTTGATGGGTATCTTTGGCAGAGTTCTTCATATTCTCTTCTCCCTTTGTAAAATTTCTGTAACCATAATTTGTGATGGAACAAGATATTGAAATAAAATCATTGCAGTGATCCAATTAACTTATTTTTGTGAGGCCCAAAAGCAGACTCCTCAGCAGCCATGACAAGCCACAGCCAACATTAAGTCTCAACTAGGCCTCAGTTTCTGTTTCCCTGGAGCAGGACTTGCAGTTTCTGGTAAACTCCTAGTTGAGGAATTTGCCAAGATAAGAAATTGGGCATTGGGTCTGGCTGGTCATGAAGGGTCACTGTACCCTCCTTAGAAACTGTTGCTAACCATTGCCTACTTGCTGACCACCATTGTAATAGGGCCAATGCTAAAAATAGACCAGTATATAAATTGCTTCTTAACTCTGAACCCTATATAAACTGCTGGTGATTTGGAGTCGGGGTCCCTGTCAAGACTCCACTGTGTTGGATGAGACTTGGACCCTAACTCGAACTCGCGCTGGCTCGGGGTATTAATAAAGTTCCTTTGCTTTTGCATTATCGTGTGTGGACTTGGTCTCTCCGCAATTGGGGATCTGAAACTTGGGCACAACATCTGGTGCATGGGCCTGGAAGCCTAGTGGTTGAGATCCCTCCACATACAATATAGGAACTTTATTCAGGTTTTGCTGGTCTAGAAAAACCGGACCAAGCAGGATCTTTCTTCTGTAGAAGGACCGGACCGGGGTTTGCCAAGTTTAGAAAAACCAGACTGTGCCGGCTCTTTCTTGCGTAGAAAACTGGCCTGGCAGGACGCTTGTCAGGGGGACTAGCAGAAGGGGCCGATCTGGGAAGAACTAGGCGAATGAGCCGGAGGGTCGCTGGTTGATAGTGTGGGAGACGTCCCCACTACTTCTGGGACACCCTGAGAATGGTGGATGCCGTTCGGTATGGAAACTTTCAGGGTGTCAGAATCTGGTTGGGCGTGATTGTTGCAACATCTTTTACAGTCGTTGTATGTCTGTTGTCATATTCTTGTTCTGTCATTTGTCCTGTTTCTAGTGAGTCTGTATGTCTTTTGCCCCCTAATTCACCATCTAGTCATGGGTCTGAATCAGTGGACCGCACTTTCCCTTGTAATTGATCATTTCTGTGATTTCAGGTCCACGGGCTGCAACCTCTCAGTAGAGGTGAAGAGAGGTAAACTGATAACTCTTTGTTCTGCAGAATGGCCAGCCTTCAACATTAGCTGGCTAGCAGAAGGTACTTTTGATCTGGGGACCATTCTGAAAAGTTAAAGTTTTCTTTCCAGAACCAGGAGGACACCCGGACCAGACCCCTTACATCCTGGTCTGGCAGGAACTGGTTGAGGTTTTTAACCTGCCTGGTTAAAAACAAGAGTGTTTTGAAACAGTGCAAAGATAAAATTAGGATACATTAAAACAAGTTTTTTAGTGCTTTCATAAACATTAATAGTCCAACTGTTTTCTAATACTGCTACTTAAAAGTTTGGTGAATACCAATGTCCTCTTTTTGTGTCTGAAAGCATGTTTGAATTGTGAAAATGTTCAAGTATTTGGAGTAAAAATCTTATGATTTGAGATAATTAAGAACTTTTAAAATTAAGCCAAAGAGGGGCTGGAGCAATAACACAGCAGGTAGGGCATTTGCTTTGCACGTGGCTGACCCAGGTTCAATTCCCAGCATCCCATATGGTTCCCTGAGTACCGCCAGGGGTAATTACTGAGTGCAGAGTCAGGAGTAACCTCTGTGCATAGCTGGATGTGACCCAAAAAGGGGAAAAAAATATTAAGCCAAAGAAGGTTTTCCTATGTTCATAAAAATTGATGGTTTGAGGGTTTTCTTATGCTGGTATGCTGATATATATTTGTATTTGCACTGGATTATTAGAATGAGTTGAAACTAGTGTAGAACATGAAAACAAGTTTAAAGAGTAATGGGTTACTAATGGGTGAGTTTCTAAAGTTATAGATCAGTGTTTTATTTAATTTCTGAGACTGTCGGTAACCTAAATTTCAGGAGCTACCAAAACCACAGAATTGTGTCTTGATAAAAGTTAAAGATATCGGGCTTTCTTACTGAGGCTTTGAACCAGCTTTCTTTATACTGAAAAAAAGGGGTGAGGGGGAAAGGAAAAAGGTTCACTTTTAAAAATTCAAGCAGCTACAGACAGCCCATTTGGCTTTAGTGGTTTCTGAAAATGGGAAAGTGCATGAATGAGGCACAAAGCCCTGAGTCACCCTCGCAACTGGGGGTGACGCGCAATGAGATATAACTATCCCATTTTCTGTGAGTGTTCTAACTCTTTTATATCTGTTTCCCTAGAAATTGGAATTCTAAGGATAAAGTTTCTAATGTAAGGTAAAATTTTGCCGAGCAGATATATGTTATAAGATCTTTAATTGTGAGCATTGTAAGCCTTTTGAATATCTGTAGGACTGATGTAATGCTTCTGAAAGAGGACTGCAGAGGTAAATGAGATCATGATTAGCAATTTCTTTCCGAATTTCTTGGCAAATCAAGCTATGTTAAGTTCAGTAAAAAAAGGAGGTTAAAACCTGTGAGATATGACTATAAGAAGGGAATGTAAGTGTGCATTTTAAGTAAAAAGGATGATGGGTGGAGATATCATTCGTGGAAAAAGGGAAAGGAATCCTGTTAAAGCGAAAATGGTTTTGAGGAACAGGACAGAATGAACACAAAGGAATGTGTAGAAGGCTTGAGTATGTGAAGAAATGTGTGTGTACGTTTGAGGTTGTGTTTTAAGAAAGAAAACTGTGATCAATCTATATTGTTACAAAGAAACTCTTCAAATTATCTGCAGATTGTTCTAGCATCCAGACTCTTGTTACAGCAAGTAATAAAGTTCCTTTGCTTTTGCATTATCGTGTGTGGACTTGGTATCTCCACAACTGGGCATCTGAAACTTGGGCACAACAGTGTTCAAGGCAGAAAAATATTTCTAAAATCCAGTCTCTATCATTTAGCTCTCAGAAGGAATGAGTTTTGATTTCTCCCTTCTCCACAAGCCCATAAAGAATGAAGATGCATTTAAAATAGATGTGAATCTTGAAAAATGACCCGGGAAGAACTTACCAAGAACCAGTCCATCTCTTGGGAACTCCCATCTCGAGTCATAAGGCAGCTGCATTGGGTCCACATAGATATATTCGTGTCCATCTGGGCTGATAGATTCGATAACCCGCCAACGAATCTCATACCTGGGTTTCTAGAAATAACAGGAAAAGGAACTGGTGAATGACCCAAGTCCATAAAATTCCAGTCAAGAGTTCTCATGCAAGACATGAGCTCCTGCTCTGAACTGGGGTATTATTCTTCAAGTTCATATTGGCTTCCATGATTCTGAGTTCTTATACAAAACACCTACCTGCTTCCAAATGACAACCAGGACAATAAGTGAGATGATCACAATCACCAAGAGCACCAGGACTGCAGCGGCCACAGTGAGTTCGGAACGCAGCGCTAGATGACACACAGAGAGAGTATATATGAGAGAGAGGGGCGAGGCAGAGAGTGTGTAAGAACATGAGGGAGGGCAGGCAGGCAGTATGGCCCTATCTGTACCCAGAATCTTTCACAGCTGGTGTGGAAGGATGAGGGCTGCCTGTCTCCTGTTTGGGCCAGGCAATGCCACGTCACAACTAACTCTTCATGAAGTTATCCCAACTCTTTTTCAGAAGAGAAAGGGATCAATTCCAATCAGTGGGAATGCAAGACTTTCTCCAAAGATGCTCCGTGTTAACCTTCAGGACACAATAAAAAGGGAACTATAAAGATGATCTAAGGTTATTTAAGTTCAGTTTATTTTGAAGGAATAGATTCTATCATCTTTTGCATATGTATGTATATATAATCTACACACACTCGCATAAGTATGTTTTTATATTTTATTTTTAGAGCCACATCCAGCTGTGCTCAGAGCTTACTCCTGGCTCTGTGCTCAGGGATCATTCCTAGTGGGGCTCAGGGGACCATATGTGGTACCAGGAAGCAACTCATGGTGGCTATGTGCAAGGTAAGTGCCTTACCTGCTAAGCTATCCCTGCCATCTCTTTGTTTTTACCTTCTAAAGAATTCAACCTATCTAGCTGCTATAAGCAGCAATAAAGCCAGAAATCATCCTCTCTTAACCACCATCTCTACACTCAGACAAGAGATTGGCTAGCTGTACTGTTGACAAGCAAAATGCCCAAGAGAGGGTGGCGTCCACAAGACAGGGTTTGGGATGTGAATCTGTGTGGCAGGGCTCCCAGACGGATGCCCAGAGCAGGCCCTTGAAGGGCACTCAGAGCTGAATGTCTGCCTGGAAACCTTCATTCTCCTGAGAGCCCATCTGGGATGCAGAGTTCCACAGCAGGGATAAAGGGCTTGGCTCGCGAGTTATCCTGACTGAGAAGCAACTCACTGGAAGCCACCAGCTTCAGCTCTCGGTTCTCAGATCCAAGGAGATTTTTAGCCAAGCAGCGCACAGCGATGGTCTCCTCGACTTTGGTAAAAGTCACTCTGCCTTCCACTGTATTCCTGTCTCGGGGCTGGCTCTCCATAATGAGGTTTGAGACGTTGTTGGTCAAAACTGTCCACGAAGTCTCGTTGTTACATCTGGGGAGGAAAGAGACATAAATAAAGACCCACTGGCTGGAAGAAATGGAGGTGAGGAGAGCACTAAGAATGATCCAAGGGACTAGAGAGACAGAACAGCTGGTAGGGCGCTTGCCTTGCATGCAGCCGACCAGGGTTCAACCCCCAGCATCCTCATATGGTCCTCTGAGAGCTGCCAGGAGTAATTCCTGTGCAGGCATAACCTCTAAGCATTGCCCTCAAAAAACAAAACAAGAGCAACCCAAGACCGAAAGCGCTTTGACCTTGCTCACATGTGTCCACTATAGGCCCATCCTCTTAATTCGCATGCAGATGAACACTGACATTACAACTTGTTAGCACATACCCCAAAATAAATAAACAAACCACATTCGGATCATTGCAAATGAACTGTTTGTGAGGGCATGGCAGAAATAAACTAGTTTACAATAGAATTAGCAAACCCAAGCCTGGATGCTAGGAGCAAATGGACCAGGTCAACTGCAAGAATATTCATCCCAATCTCCCGCCACCCTCTCTCCCTCCTCTCTGCCCACAGTGCACTACTAGGCTTAGACCAAACAACCCACTGTGAGCTAACACCAAGAGGGCAGCTCCAGGCCACAGGTGACTCCTGTCCCTTAGCTGAGAAGATGGCAGGTCTATGAGTGCCAGCAATCAATTCCAAACCCATCCAGCTGCACTGGGTAGGCATGACTCTTATGATTCATGTCCCATTGCGAGGCAGGGGGACAAAGGAGAGAACAGTGAGTTCACCTGAACAGCAGGTGCGCTAATGAGTCAAAGTGGCCGCAGGGCAGGATTTTCATCTACATTTGCAAAAATCACATAAATCAAGCCACCAAATAAAAATACCACCAGATAAGAAATGAGAAGTGAAAACGTGTGCCAGGGAGATAAAAATCCTGCGAGTAGCAATTTTCAGATGAGAGACCATTCATGAATCTGATGGAAGTTACAGACCTGCTTCTTGCAATTCTTCACACACACATACATGTATATGCATGTGAACACACACATACATACATGCACACACACATACACAATCTATGTTCTGAATCTATCTTCCTATATCACAGCTAATGAAATGTGGACAAAGTAAGTATCACAAATATGAAGGCCAGTAAAAAAATAAAATGTGTTTGTGGTCTTTTGAGTCAAGGGAGAAAAATTCAAAAGGAACATCTTGATTCCATACTTCTTAATATCCTTGCAAATCATCCACTCAATGTCAGGAAGAGGCGTCCCTCCGGCTGTGCACCTCACAGTCTGTCCCCCTGTGGAGCCGTGGTGGTCGTCAACCAGGTCCTGAATAGATGCAGGAACTGCAAGAGGTGGAAGGAAATCGGGAATGGATCACTTGAGAACTTTCACCACAAGGTCTTCAGAGTTCGGGACTTGTCCATGTGGGATTCGAATCTGAACTACATTAAACTTGTAATAAAGTTCCAGCGTGGACAACCCACTGGCTTAAGAGCATTTGCACATTCCCAGCATTTGGGAACTTGTGCCCGTTCACATTTTGTACTGGGAATGGGGGAAGAGTCAAAAAAAAAAAAAAAGAACTGGTTATTCAAAGACTTCAAAGACGAAGAGGGCAGACCATTATTTTACTAGAGTTTGGAGTTCAACTGGTGAATTTACTTGTTGTAGAAATTCTCACTATCAGCCAGCAAAAACCCAAGCAGCATCCTCTGAAGAGCGGGATGCCACCAGAGAACCTGGCTGAGCATGCTCCAAAGATTGGGCCCCTGAACAAAGGCAAGAGTTACAACCTCAGCTAGTGGAGAGACCCTGCTTTTTACCTGGTGCCACTTTTCCTGCCCAGCCCCGGGACCCCACTCCTCACTCATTGGCTGAGCTTTCAGAAGCTAACTTCAACTCTCACGTACCTTGAGTTAAGAGTTCAAAAGTATAGCTCTTCACATCATCTTCATTCTGAACTATGATCGTGTAGTGGCCACTGTCTTCTTCCTTAGCACGGATCAGCTTTAATTTGCTTCGATACCTTCCAAGAAAAGAACTTTGTTGAACAAAGAGGAATAACATTCCCAGCACTTAAGCAATTACCACTTACACTTTGTTTTGCTTTTGTTACAGAGAGTACGGGGGATAATCCTGAACCTTTACAGTTCAAGTTTTACTGTCTTTCATTCCTAACCCGATTCAATCCCTAGAACTGAATATGATCCCGGGAGCACTGTCAGGAGTAAGCCCTGAGCGCAACCAGATATGAATCAAAACCAAGGGCTTGAAGGGATAGAGCACATGCTTTGCATGCAGGAGCCCTGGGTTGGATCCCTGGCATGATATGGTCCCCTGAACACCACAAGGAAAAACCCCCTCCCAAGTTTCAAGATAAATAAAATAAAAACATCACATTTTGAAAATGCAACCAGAAAGAGCACTGATCATAAAGAGTGAAAATCTGGGCATAAGTGAAATTCTCGGTTTCCTGACATACTAAGATAACTATACATAGTCACTCTGAGTATGAAGTGAAATTATGTGTGAAAGCATGTCAGAGGCTCAAAAGTACCCTGCATGCCCTAGACTCACCCATATGCCAGGCACTAGGACCTCCACTGGGAATGCACTGGGTGGATGACCCCTGCTGCCCCCTCCTGGTCATGCTGCAGGACTGCAACTGCTTAGACAGGCTTCACTACAGATTACCAGGTGATCTTGTACTCATTTTTCTACACATGCAGCCAAGAAAGCTTACTTTTAAACACCAGAAAGCCAAATAGCTCATTTGCAAAGTTCCCAGCCAATCATGAGAACTGGAAAACTATGTGAGGAACTCTTGGAATAAGACAACTTTTCTGAACCGCTCTGCTGGTGACCTTTTGTCTTGTCCTGAATCTTGACTATGCCTTGGACACCTCTGCAGATAGTGCTCATACAAGTTTTTGAGGTTGGCTGTACCCCAAATGACCCCACTTCTCTCTGGCTTCACATCCTCGCTGAGCTGGGTGCGCCCACTTTCTTTCAGCACCTTCACTTGTCATCAGAAAGCCGTCCAGATGTATTATTCCACCTCTTTCTAGATCACTCTTCTACACAATCGACAGTTCCATCAAATACTGCTTCTCAATGACATGCAGGTTTCAGCTTAGAAAGAAGAAAGCAAGGCCTGCGGCTGAGAGAACTGAGAAGAGAGATTCTGTTCTCCTCTGACTTAAAGGCTTGAAATTAAAGACTAACTTTCATCTCCTTGGGACAGGTGTTGAAAGAGGCTGCAGGGATGAACTGGCTGTACCCCTTCAGAACGCACCTTTTAATCAGAGCTTAAAACTGCAAGAGACCTCAAAATATCACTGGATCCCACTCCTACTTTGAAGAATATAGGTTTTTATCACCCTGCGTCTGCATGGAGAAACTGAGGCTGAAGGCTGATTTGTACCTTTTCTTCCAACCAAATGTAACTAGACACTATCTTACTTCTGGTTGAAGCCTGGACTGGGGCAAATGTGTTAAATTAAGTCAATGTTATTTTATCTCATATAAATTTTTTGAAAAAATGGCCTCGCAAGTAGAAAGAATATACACTGTATGTGTGTATTTGGGCATGAGTGATGGGCATCAGGGAATAGATTCTATCCAAATGGGTCCAATTTTAGTTTCTCTGCTCCTTTCTCCATCGGTTGTGGAAACTTATCTTTGCTGGGGGAACATGGGTGGGAGATTCAGTTTCATTTTCTTAGCCTGTACGTATGTTAAGCATATTACAATGTTATCATGAAAAGTAGACTAACTCTGATAGCTGCTGCATTCTCTAGATTGACTCTTGATGGGTTCGAAGGTACACACAAACCTCAGGCTCTCTAGAAATAAAACGAAGGTTGGGAATGGAGCTTAGTAATAAAATTCCCGGCCCCTCCTGAGAACTGGGACACTATGTGATGGAGGAACTCTTGGAATAAAACAACTTTCCTTGCTAGAGGGATGGGTGTTGGAACATTAAATGACTGAAACCCAATCAAGAACAACTATGTAACTATGTATCTCATGGTGATTCAATTTTTAAAAATTCATTAATTCTGGGGCTGGAGCAATAGCACAGCGGGTAGGGCGTTTGCCTTGCATGCGGCCAACCCAGGTTCGATTCCCAGCATCCCATATGGTCCCCTGAGCACTGCCAGGGGTGATTCCTGAGTGCAGAGCCAGGAGTAACCCCTGTGCGTCTCCAGGTGTGACTCAAAAAGCAAAAAAAATAATTCATTAATTCTTTCCTTCCATATATGAGACCTGGGTTTAATCCCTATATTGCAAAGAGATATAAAAACAAAACAAAATGTACTTGGGGTCAATTTTTACCTTATTTCCTGGATCTTTTCTACATCTGTGGTGATCTCCGTGAGGTTTTCTATCAGAGTCAGGTTGTCTTTGAGCCAGGAGATCCTGGGGGGAGGGTAGGCCTCAACGTCCACCACAAAATTCTTGACTTCATGCAAGTTGACAGTTTCCAACTGGCTGAAGTTGGGCGTGATTTCCACGAAGCCTTTCTCTGTGCAGGGAACAGTTTCCATTAAAGACTGATTAGCCTAAGTGGCTTCCAAATGGCGGGGAGAAGGGACCTTTTAGAAAGCAGAATGTACCGTGGACAGAAATGGTGACTTTCTTCATTTCTTTGACTTCCTTGGTGGCGTGGCCGGCAGCACATTCATAATCTCCACTATCTTTCACCGTGGCCTCCTGGACCTTCAGAGTGTACGTCAATTTGATGATTGGATATTTGATTTCCTCTAGCATGATGTTTCCTTTGCCTTTCTACAGAAGGGAAGAAAAACCAACTTTATTTTTATTATGATTTTTTACACTTTTTTATTGAATCACTGTGAGACTCTTACAAACCTGTTCATGATTAGGTTTCAGTATACTGTGTTTCAACACCCACCCCTCCACCAGCGTACAATTCCCAGCACCAGTGTCCCCAGTTTCTCTCCATCACCCCCAGCCTGCAGGTGCTTTTCTTTTCTCTCTCTCTCTCTCTCTCTCTCTCTCCCTCCCTCCCTCCCTCTTTGTGGTTTGCAATACAAATACTAAAAGGTTATCAGGAATATCCCTTCAGCTAATTTTAGCACTCAGTTCTTGTTCAACATGATCATTTCCAGCTATTATTGTCATACTGTTCCCTTCTCTATCTAACCTATCCTCTGCCCCCTCACACATGTGGTTGATTCCAACCACTGACCAGTCCCCCCAACCCCTGAGAAAACTGATAGCTCCTTGGGGCTGGAGCAATAGCACAGCGGGTAGGGCATTTGACTTGCACGCAGCCTACCCAGATTCAATTCCCAGCATTCCCTGTGGTCCCCTGTGCACCGCCAGAAGTAATTCCTGAGTGCATGAGCCAGGAGTAGCTCCTGTGCATCGCCGGGTGTGACCCAAAAACAAAAACAAAAATTAAAAAAAAAAAAACTGATAGCTCCTCAAAGGAACTCCCCTCTGGAAACAATGGACAGCGAGTGAGCCTGACCTATCAGTGTAAGTTCACTGACCATCATCACACCTATACCTCTCTGTGGGATTGTGAATCATGGAGGAGTGACTACATACATGTGGGGCCAAGGGGTTCATGGGACACCTCTGGATCTTTCCGTTGTAGTGACTTTAAAACTATTCTGAAAGATAAAGTCTAATAGGTTGGTGGGGGAGGAAAAGACTCCTGGTGCCAAGCATTGAACTCAGGGTCTCACCATGCAGGGTAAGCACTCTACCACTGAACTAAATCCCAGTCCTAATGATTAATAGTAGTTGAGGGTTGGAGAGTTCACACAGAGGTTAAGAACCTTGCCAACACCCGTTCATTCCCCACAGCACCACTAGGAGTGATCCCTGAGCACAGAGCCAAGAGTAAGACCTGAGTTGTGCAATGTGTGACTCCCCCAACCTCCCGGAAATAGTCATCCGTTAGCTATTTACAAAGTCTTGTTCTAAAAGGATATTTAATGAGTAGATTTGCATTCTACCGTCAAAGCAAACAGGATATTACAAAGTACTACTTAAAGCATAAACCTATAATTTTAAGTATTTCTCATGTACAAAAGCCATTTAAAGGATTTATCTCCTTAAATTATTAAGGTGAGGCCCTGGGAAGGGGCTTTGCTGCAGTCTCTCTGCAGTTTATAAAGTTTCAACAATAAACCTGCATTACTGGTTTATCAGATCAGAAAAAGAAAAGTTCCAGGGCCAGCCAGAGCAATAGTAACAATGGGTAGGAAGCTTGCCTTGCACACAACCAACTTGGGTTGACTCCCATCACCATGTATGATTCCCTTGGTCCTTCTAGGAGTAATTCTCGAGTGTAGAGCCAGGAACAAACCCTGAGCACTACTGGGTGTGGCCCCCAAACCAAAACTAAATAAATGAAAAGAACTGAAATAAATGAAAAAGAACTGAAGGCGTGAGCATAACACTGGGCTGTTTAGTGTTTCAGGGAAGACACTGATTCAAGTTTGAAAAAGGCTCATGGTAAGGTGACCCGAGAAAATGCCCAGCTCTCAGTGAGAGGCAAGAAAGGAAGCATGCGGGGAGAGTAGTGACGGAAAGGATGAGCTCCTAAGTGCCAAGCAACAGTAGGGAGCTTGACTCTGCAGGTCAGGAGCGCAGGGTATGTTCCTGTTCCTGCCGAAACACAAGCAGTTCCTCCCGAGGCTGCTGTACAGAGCAGGGCTCATCATTCCAGCAGCAAGGGAGTTCCCCTGCCCCCAGCCTTCCTCCCTTGCTCCTCCAACACACGGACCACCACACACCCCAGGGAATGCTAGCACGTGTATGACAACAGATCCAATGCTGGTTCCCCTTCCCCAAACCTTACCCCACTCATCCTCCATGAACGAAACTAGCAAGGTCATTTGGATTTAGCAAATGTCATTCTGAGGAGGGTTTTCCCCCGTCCTGGGGATCACACACACAGCAGAGCTCTGCAGATCACCTCGGTGCACACAGTGGCATTGGAGTTTGGACTCACTCGTCTGAATGACTACAGTTATGCGCCTTCAATGAAGGGGAGCCTTGCAGAGCCAGCGCAGGCAGAGCCAGCGCAGGCAGGAAGGAGGCAGAGAGTGACCTTTTGCTGCAGTAGCACAGTAAAAGCAGAAGGCATGAGCAATTAACATCACTGACACCTCCATGGGCATCCTTCTGGAAGCCTTGGCAGTCATGTCCACACCCCAAAGCAGCCACCCAGTTAAAAAAGCTACCCCAGCCTTACCTTCCTGATAAAAATACTGAACACCCTGAACAGACACGATAACCCCTTAGTAGCTGCAGTGCAAACCATAATGCACAAAAGGAGAGGGAAAAAGAAGAAAAGTGGCTGCCATAGAGGCAGGCTGGTGTTGAGGGGTGATGGAAGGGAAATGGGGGACACTGGTGATAGAAAATGGACACCAGTGAAGGGATAAGTGTTGGATCATTGTATGACTGAAACCCCATCATAAACAGCTTTGTAAGATTACAAATATTCAATAAAAAATAATTTTTAAAAAAAGGCACGTTTTCAAATCTTTTTTTCTTTAATTCACTGTCTTGTACTGAGTCACAGGCCATTCCCATGTTCTTCTGGTAAACGAAACACCCAGCAGTCTTCAGGCATTGAGGAAGTCTCAGTCAGTTCCCTCGGGGGCCCCTTCCCTGGCACACGGGTCAGAGAGCTTCCTGACAGGGACTCTATCTGGTCCAGCCCATCACCCAGGTGGGAAGCTCAGTGAGGTGGCAATTAAGGATGCTTTGACGTTCGGTGAGCCCCACCCACACCGCACCCACAGGAGCACGGATGGTACCTACCACTTGCCCAGGGTAAGTCCACTTCAGGTCGACCACCTCGTTGTTAAAGACGACGCAGGTCACTTCCACCGTCTCCCCTGCCTTGTAGACCGTCTGCAGAGCTTTCATCTCGAGCTCCAGCTCTGGTGTGGCTACGTAAAACAAACACAGGGACTTAATTCCATAGTCAGTCAGAATCCGCATTGATTCTGGAGTGACCTTTTTGTTTTTCAAACCCTTAAAGATAAAAATGTGGGGCCAGAGAACTAGAGCGGGAGTTAAGGCACTTGCTTTCCAGACAGCTGACGCTGGCGCTGGTTTGATCCTGAAACCACAGAGTTCCCTGAGCAATTCCTGAGCAGAGCCAGAGGTAAGACCTGAGCACAACTGGATGTGGTCCCCAAAACAAAACAAAACAAAAGGACTGTACCTCCATCAAGACCCTACCCCCTGTTCTATTGCTCTGCTTCTGTTTCTGATGGTTTGTTTGTATGTTTTTGCGTCACCCAGCAATGCACAGGGCTTGCTCCTGGCTCTTCACTCAGGAGTTACTCCTGGCAGTGCTCATGGGGACCATATGGGATGCCGGGGATTGAATCCAGGTTGGCCACATGCAAGGCAAATGGCCTACCCACTGTCCTATTACTTCAACCCCCCAAAACAAATTTTTTTAAAAATCTACATGCAGAGGATTATTTTCCCCTGTCCAAGAACTCACACAAATGAGGGATATTATCTCCCCAATCCTGCCTATAATTCTGTTTTTAGCAGCAGACTAGCGGAACACCCAAGCAGTGCTCAGCAAACCCAGGGACCAGTGCCAGATATTCTTGGCCAACCCAGTGGGATGGTTGAAAACTAAGGCCCAAAGATGTAGCATAGGCACCCACAGAGCATCAGTCAGCTGGGACCTGGTAGTTCTTCAAAGGGAGGAGCAGGTGAACTGGACAACAGCACCGGGGACAGGGGTCCCTACCTTGCAAACTCATGTCCCAGATTTGATTCCAGGGACTGTATGCCCCTCCCCAGCACTGCCAGCCTATATAAACCACCCAGACCACATGGCAGAGCTGGGCCCCCTGAGCACAACTTGGGAGACCCCCATGCCCAAAATCAAAGTAAACAAGGGAGGGAGAGTACCAGTACCTTTTAAAGCATAAACAGTAAATGAGAGGGTCCGGACGGGCTTGCCTCGGATAGTGGCCTCACAGACGTAGGTCCCGCCAGGAAAGGTGCCATTAAAGCCTTGTCTGCTATCATAGATGGCAGGGACCACCCCCTCATTGTTGAGTAAGGTGACAGGAGTGTCCGGATCCGTTGTGCGGCAAGGTATGATGGAAGTGCCATCTTCATCCACGATGACTAAAGAATCTGTCAGTCCTAGTGGTACGAAGGCTACATCCGGGTCTTTGGTTTAAAAGAATAAAAGAGAAACATATACGGCATTAGTTTCACCTTTTGCAGCTATGCAGAAGAATCACACAACCCTAAAAAAGAGTAAGAGAAAGATAGATAGGCAGGCAGATAGACAGATTGGTCTAGATACTATACAGATACAGGCAGAGATGCATAGGTACAGATACCAAAGACAGAAGTACAGCTACAGGTACTAATAGAGCACCTATAGATACAGTCTGCAAGTGCCTCAACAATCCAAATGCTACAAACTTACATCTGGATTGTAGACATAAGTATAGACATGAACAGAATTAGGCAGGGAAATATAGACAAAAGCATATCAGGAATGCGGACCATATAAATGGTAAAAAGAATCGCAAAGGAGAACTGGAGTGATAGGACAGCAGGTAACTAACTCGGGTTCACTCCCCGGCATCCCATATAATGCCCTGAGCCTGCCAGGAGTGATTCCTGAGTGATTCCTAAAGACAGAGCCAGGAGTAAGCCCTGAGCATCACTGGGTGTGGTCCCAAATAACAAACAAATAAAAAGAAACCAATAACAACAACAACAAAAAGAGAATCACAAAGGCGCACATAGGGAACACCATATGGGGTGGTCAACAAAGGCTAATCAAGGCCACAAAGCAGCCCAGGACCGAGGGTGGGCACAGAGAGAATAACACACCCTACTCCAATTCAAGGGGCTACATTAGGGGGAGCGGACTCAGAAATCCACCACAACCCAAGGGCACACCTCCAGGCAAGCTTCCCAGCCATGACAGTGTGGAATTGGGAGGACCCAGGACCTCCCTTACCCAAAGTTGAGTTGGCTACCTCCCTGCCCTCCCTCCCTGGCTCAGGGTCACACCCGCCCTGCACAGGGTCAAGTCCCCCACAGCCTCTGAAGGGTTTCTCCCCCACTTCACCGATGGGCCGTCCCCCTAATAAAACTTCTTCCCATCTGGGGCCAGGGAGATAGTCCAAGTGGAAGAGATCAAACACAGGCACGTGTCAAACTCAGTCGGACTAAGTTTCAGCCCTGACACTACACTGCACACTCTCCCCTCTCTGACCTGGCACTGCCGGGTGTGGCCCATGGAAAACAAAACCAGACGTCTCCATGCTGAATGCCCTCTTACTCCCAGCTTGGCATCTGCTTAGCAAGATGGGAGGCAACATCACCAGTTTGGAAAGAGCTCCAAAACTTCAGTGATAGAGAAGGGGTGGGTGGGAAGGACCCCAACTCCAAATCCTTAAGAGTAAATGTAGGTTTTACTGAATTTGAAAACAAGCATCATGGGACCAGAGCGACAGTACAGTGGGTAGGACGCTTGTGTTACCATGCAGCCAAACCAGCTTTGATCCCTGGCACCCCACATGGTTCCCCGAGCCCAGCAGAAGTGATCCCTGAGCACAGAACCAGGAGTAAGCTCTGGATACTGCTGGGTGTGCCTCCCTGCCAAAAAAATAATAAAGCCCTCTTTAAAACATTAAACTATCAGCATTCAAATTTTGTCTTTTTTTTTTTTAGCTCACACCCAGTGATGCTCAGGAATTACTCCTGGTTCTGCACTCAGGAATTACTCCTGGCAGTGCTCAGGGGACCATAAGGGATCCTGGGAATTGAACCCGGGTTGGCTGATTGCAAGACAAACGCACTACTCACTGTGCTATCACTCCAGCCCTTTTTGTCTTTTTTTTTATTTTGGCTTTTTGGGTCACACCCGCAATGCACAGGGGTTACTCCTGGCTCTACACTCAGGAATTATTGTGGTGGTATTCGGGGGACCATATGGGATGTCAGGAATCAAACACGGGTCGGCCTTGTGCCAGGCAAACGCCCTCCCCGCTATACTATCACTCCAGCTCAACTTTAAAATATTTCAAAATTGTAGTAGTAGCAATCACTTTTGTGGGATTTTTGTTTCTGTTTTTTTGATTGTTTTTGGGGTTCATTTTTTGCCACACCCAGCAGTGCTGGGAACTCAGGTGGGGCCAAAAACAGGCAAGGTTGGTCCCCGTGTGCCCAGCAAGGCCACCTGCAGGACAATTGCTAGTTGCTGATCAGGCAGTTCCCATAGATCTTCATTGACTCGCGCATCTTCTCCGGGTCCATCCGCCTTCCTCCGCGGGCCTCACCTGGCACGTAGATGTAGATGTGGCGGCCTTCGACGTCGCTCTCGTCCAAGGTCTGCGTGTGGTTGTAGTAGCAGGTGTACAGCCCCGTGTGGGCGGCCGAGGCGTTGGCCACTTCCAGCACCTTCACGAACAGGCCGCTGTTGGTCTCCTCGTTCCTGATCTCCACGTTGGAGTTCTCGTCCTCGGCCGTCGGGTACAGCCAGTTCACTTCGCTCTCCCCCAGGCAGCGCAGAGAGAAGGACGAATTCAGCCGCACCACCTTCTCGTTCTCGTTGGGGAGGATGGAGGGGAAGGACAGCTGAGCGGCGGGGAGGCGCAGGCCTGTGGAGGGAAAAACGTGCCCTGAATCAGGGACCGCGGCCAGAGAGGACACCCCCCTCCCTTCCAGTCCCCGCCGCCTGCCCTGGAGCCCTGGCAGAAGCACCAGGCGCACCGCAGGGGGAACAATGACCATTTCTCCTCCCGAATCCGTTAGCCAGCCTGGACGCCCATGAATGGCTCCCCATTATAGCAGCCCCTGCATCTGCCGAGGCCAGCAGAGGCTCCAAGAGCCTCAAAAGCTTCCCCCAGCAACCCCCACCCTCCACCACCACCCCCCTCGTCCCGACCCACCCCTGCAAACACTCCAACAGAGAGAGGGTGTTGATTCCAATTCCATATTTCAGACGCTGATGGGTGGCCATAAAATATCCCCAAGATGGCATGAAGGCCAGCACATATGGGTTCTTTAGGGCGCACACTCCCGGCAGAGGGGGCCCCTCGAGGGGACAGGGGGAGAGGAGCGAGAGGGGTGGGGAGCGGAGGGCACACAAAGCACCCAGCAGAGCTGAGCGGGAGATGGACGCCTCTCCCCATGGCCCAGCTCGCCACGCTCCCGCCTGCCTTCTCGCTAATGGCTTCCAGAAGCCCGGGCCGGACAAGGGGGGTCTTTCATTCCAAATGCAGAGAGCGAAAACGCTGAGCTCACTGTTACACCTGAAATGTCCCCCCCACTTCCCACCCCCTCTGTCTACAACACCCACAGAGGAACGATTAAGGACTCAACTCTGGGTGCGTGGGCTTCAGTCTCCTGCAGGACCCAGCTCCAGGGAGCCCTCGCACCCCTCAACCTCCCGCCTCAACTCAGATTGCCGGAACTTCAGCTCAGCCCTGACCTCAGAGCTGGGGAGCCCTTGAAGAGAACAGAACCCCGAAAGCAGGCTCCCTTCTAGAAGCTCTCTGCACATGGCTCACATCAGAGGCACGCATACACTTGCGTGAACTCCCTGCCCTGGAAAAAAAATACTGGTTTTTCATGACAAACACCTGCAATTCATAAATATCGGGGTGGAAACTAAACGAGTTCAATAAATAATTCAACATATGGCCCCCGCAGCCTTCCCTGGTGGAAAGGGATTAGTGAGATTCCCCATGAACCATTCCGTTCCCAGCTAAAGGTGGTTCTGAGATTCTGCAGCCGTTTGTTTCAGCACCTCCCACTTCAGACAGGTATGACTGAAGCCAGGTGTGATTTCCTTGGCAAGAATATTCCATGATTCATTTCCTTCACATCGGTTTGACTTTCTGGGATCACCAGCCTCCCCACTCCAGGAGAAAACTCACATCAGAAAAAGGAAGAGGGTAGCAACCACCCTCTTGAACCACCCTAGTGAGATGATGCATCTGACTTTTTTCCATGCCAGGATGGCATAAATACTGAAGCTGTCCTCAGGGAACATTCCTTGTGAATTAGAACTCACTTATAGCGAACAACGGGCAGTCTGAAGTAACAGCTGAGAATCTCCATTTCACTATTTCAGAGGCTGGTGCAAGGGACACGCGTAACACCCCCAGAGCAGACAGAGCTTAAAAAACAAAGGCTAGAGCGATACCACAACAGGGAAGGCGTTTGCCTTGCACGCAGCCAACCTGGGTTCGATTCCCAGCATCCCATATGGTTCCCCCGAGCACCACCAGGAGTAATTCCTGAGTGCAGAGCCAGGAGTAACCCCTGTGCATTGCCAGGTGTGACCCAAAAAGCAAAAGAACAAACAAACAAAAACAAGACCCCTCCTTGCCCCCAGGACAACCCCTCTGAGGGGATGTGGACCCCTACCTGTGAGGAGACAGCCTAGAAGCAGGAAAGTCCGGTGGTCAGTGCCCATCCTGGAGGAGCCTGGAGGAGGGAGAGAGAAAGCGCCGTGGTCAACACCAATAGTCAGGAGCCGCCTTGTCCGGGAGCTGGACGCTGAGAAAAATTAGAACCGTGTCCCTTTGATCCCAAAGGTCCCTGTTTGAGACTCATGGTCCCAGCAGGCCTGAGGGCCACCCAGAGTGTGCCCAGTCCCGGAAAAACACAAACCTTTTTTTTTTCTCGCATGCAGTTTACAGATTCTGAAAAGTCTCCGTCTCTTGTCTCAGAATGTGTCCCAGAGTATGGGAGAACTGTCCCTTTTTCAACTATTCAAGCAAAGAATGTGAAAAATAAATAAGCTGATGTATTTACTCAACTTCCCCTCTAGTCCAGGTCCAGCTTGTGTCTCAATACAGAGAAAATCCATGGCATTCCCCTCCTCCCGGGACAGACGCCTGAAGTCACACAAACTTTATCTGCTCTTGCCTTTCTCCCCCAGAGCTAGGGAGTGTCCCGCTTACCACTGTCCCTTTGGACAGAGAGCGGGACCAGCCTCCAGTCTCGCTGTCCCCCACCCACTCTGCTCTCCCACTTATCCACAGAGGTAAACCTGAGACATGGACACAGGAGGAGGCTCAGAAAGCGAGGAAGAGGCCCGAGAAATAAGAGAGTGGGCAGGGCATTTGCCTTGCATACAGCCAACCGGGGCAGGACTCAGTTCCCAGCATCCCATGTGGTCCCCCAACTTACATTTACATCAGGAGTAAGACCTGAGCAACCCCAGGTATAACCCAAAAACCAGATAAATAAACGAAAGAAAGTGAGGAAGAGGGGAGCAAGAAACAGCTCAAGTGATGGAGCACACGCTGCAGATGTGAGACCCCCCCAAGTCAGACCCCGGTACCACCTGGCCCCCTGAGCACCAGCAGGGGAAAGTCCAAGGGGCCCCAAGTACACAGCCAGGTTGAGCTTGTGAGGAATGGCCCTAAATAAATACAGATTTTTCTTTTTCCTTTCGTTTTAACAAAGAGAGAGAAAAGGGGGATGTCACGAAATTCCTGCCTTTGTGAGGTTGCAGGAAACCGTGGCGTAAAACTCAGTGGAAAGCAAAGGTTGTGTCCACGCTAAGGAAACAGCATCAGCAGAAGCCGTCGACGACTCCCCGCTCTCCCCTCGCTACATCCGGAGGATGAGGAGACGTGGGCAAGGAGGATGAAATGCCACATCCAACGGCAGAGCCGGCAAGGAGGGGAACCACAAAGGCAGAAGGCCCCGGAGGGAGCACCCTGGGCAGAGCCACATGATCTCCTGAGCACTGTGAGCCCAATGCAGGGAAGAGCCCCTGAGCACTGTCAGAAATTAAAGGAAATTTAGGAGAGAAATTAACACAGAGTCAAGCTGCTCCGGAGTAAACAGACCGAGCAGTCTATTCCAGCCATCTCTCTGAACAAGCCACTTTTCTTTTTTTTTTTTTTTTTTTTTTTTTGCTTTTTGGGTCACACCCGGCGACGCACTGGGGTTACTCCTGGCAGTTCCCAGGGGACCATATGGGATGTTGGAAATCAAACCGAGGTCGGCCGCGTGCAAGGCAAACACCCTACGGGCTGTGCTATCATTCCAGCCCACAAGCTGTACTTTTCTGCACTTTTTTTTCTCCCACTCATGAGCTCACCGTCTTTTTTTTTCTCCTGCTGCATTTTTCACATGAGGCCAGTAACACTGGGGGAGTCTTACTGGAGTCACTGAAACACCTGCCAAGGGCCTGGGGATAGATATGGCTCGGTTCTGGGGTGTCTCACTGCAGACATGAGGCCTTGAGTTTGATGGCCTGCATCGCCCCTATGCCAAGCGTAATCCTAGTACTGCTGCCAGCATCCCCAGGCACACAGCCCTGGAGAGAGAGAGAGAGAGAGAGAGAGAGAGAGAGAGAGAGAGAGAGAGAGAGAGAGAGAGAGCATGCGCCCACACACTCAAGCAACACATGTGTGACCCCAGAAAAGACAGAAATGACAGCAACAAAAGCGAAGGGGAAAGAGTGCTGAGTTTCACAGAAAAGAAGCAGTAAGGGGCATAGGAGCAAACCCCAAGATAATCCCCCCCAAAAGCACCCACTGGGCTGGAGAGATAGTACAGCAGGGGAAGACTTGCCCGGCAGGCAACTGATGCAGGTTCATTCCTTGCTACCACATATGCTCCCCCAAGCTCCACCAGAGGTGACCCCTGAGGGCAGAGTCAAGAAAAAAAAAATGCCCTGAGCACTACCAAGTGTGGTGCAAACACAAATCCCTCCCCAGCCCCATAGAAAACAGGGTCAGTAAAGATTCAGAGAGGAGCCACAGAGTAGGTAGAGCAGAGCTAGGATTCTAACTTGCAGTCATGGTCACACAAAAGCCCCAGGCTCAGGGCTTGGGGCAGGAGCAATAGCACAGCAGGCAGGGCATTTGCCTTGCATGCAGCAGACCCAGGTTCGATTCCCAGCATCCCATATGGTCCCCTAAGTACCGCTAGGAGTAATTCCTGAGTGCATGAGCCAGGAGTAACCTCTGAGCATCGCCAGGTATGACCCAAAAAGCAACAACAACAAAAAGCCCTGCGCTCATCCATCCATCCACCCTGGGGTCTTTCTCAAGCCACTCGACTCAGCTTGGTGCCTCCCCCTTTTTTCCCCTGCCCAGGTCCCCCAACTACCACCTCCTGCAGCTCACCTTCTCTGCAAACCAGTGACAGAAAGCAGTGTCGCCCCCCCCCCCCCACACCTCCCAATGCGGCCTGCACAGCACTGGACCAGGGGATGCTGACCTGTACTGTACGGGCACACAGATTCTGCCCCCCCTGCCATGATCAGGCACCCAGCCAGGCTGCCCGGATGCAGCACAACCAGCAGGGGAGGTCTTTGTGTTTGTCCATAGAAATATCAGCCTCCCACTGATAATCCACTTAGCGCACTTCAAAGGCGCCCTCCAAGGCTGGCTTCTATCTTGGGTTTTATCACACTTACATCCCAGCTTTCTTGCGCAGGCACCCCCATCCATGATCTTTAAAGCATTCCCAAACCCAGGGAGAGGGGGGTGCGCCTTGCGTCAGGCTGGCTCTGAGCACTGTTGCTGCAAGCGGGCCCCACCAGATTTCCTTCCCTGGATCAGATAGGAAGGGATATTTACCAACCTACCAAGTGGGCAATAAAAACAACACGCGCGTGCACACACACACACACACACAGCAAGTGATAATGATGTGAATGCTGAGACTCAACATGTGTTTGCTCAAGATTTCCAACTCTCTCCTCTGATAAGAGGGCTGCTGGCTAGATACCCAGGCTGATTGGGGTACCCCATGGCATCACTCATTGCAGCTGAGACTAGGCAGTGGTTAATGATCACAGCGTCTGCCTGATACCAGGTCATAGAAAATCATGGGAGGGAAGGTGGGAGCAGCTCCAGACGGGTGCGATTTGACTGGCCCCCAGACCCTCATGCTTATTCAATCACCTCTCCCCAGAGCTTACCAAGCCAGAGGTACAAATCATCAGAAACACAGCATGGGCAAGCCAGCAAGAACACGTTGCTTTGCAAGGAATTTTCCTCAACCTTTTCTTTTTATTTCTTTTTATTTATTTATTTGTTTTTGCTTTTTGGGTCACACCTGGCAATGCACAGGGGTTACTCCTGACTCTGTACTCAGGAATCACCCCTGGTGGTGCTCAGGGGACCATATGGGATGCTGGGAATCGAACCCGGTTTGGTCGCGTGCAAGGCAAACACCCTACCCGCTGTACTATTGCCCCAGCCAACCTTTTCTTTTTAAAAACAAACCATTTCTCTCATACCCACTGAATTATCAGCCTGCAGTCCCAGTTCTGTGAAGTCCCAGTTTTAAAGGCATCAACCTTTACCCAGCATCTCATACGGTCCTTTCTTTGAGCACTATTAGGAGTACGGAGCCAGGAGTAAGACCTGAGCACCGCTGGGTACAGCCCAAAAACAAACCAAAAAAGCCAAGGTCAGAGATGGGCAGGACAGAGAGTGTACCGTGTATGTGGGGGCTCTGGGGTGCAGCCCTGAAGCAGCAAAAATAAATGCTAAAGCATAAGTAATAAAGACACGGAACAATCAGGAGAAAAGAGATGTCAGACAAGGGACTGGGGGCCTCCTTTCCTATCCTCTTCCGTCCTCCTTTCTTCTCTTGCTAAAGATCCCTTCACTGCCTTAATGAGGCTCTGACCCTACATCTGATTGTTGGCCCATCCCTTGGAAACTCAAGCGCCACCTCTTCTTACATAACCCTAAACTCATTGGGGCTGGAAGATAGGACATGAGGCGAGTGCTTGTCTTGAAGCGGCTGCGCTGGCTGTAACCCATCACCATACACCCAACACCATAAGGCGCCTTGAGCACTGCCAGGGGTTGCTCCTGAGCACAAGGTCAGGAAGAGCCCCTAAGCATTGCTGGGTGTGTCCCCCACCAAGAGACAGACAGAGAGACAGGCAAACTGTAGTACTAACACCTGCCTTGCTGTCTGGCTTGGCAGTATAATTTTCAGGACTTAACTGCTTCGTTGAAGGTGCTTTGGAGACTGCAAGCTTGGCACATAGAGTTGGTTCTCCCGGAGACTCTGCAGGCCTCTGAGAGATGTCAGAAGAGGATGTCAGAAGAACTACCTCTATTTCTGGTGGAGAAAGCAGCCCCTGCCTGCTGGGGAAGTGAATCTGGACTCTGGCTCAGCCCAAGGGGCATTAAGTTATCCAAGATGATGTTGGGGCCCAGGATGGGACTGCATGTGTGAGACCAGGGGTCGCTCACCTACACCAGGTGACCCCCAAGTAAAACTACATGTGACAACTGCACAACCACAAAACAACAAAACTAAGTGGGGCACTCTGGTCACAGAGTGCTGAAAGAAGGTAAAGGGACATGAATGATATACCCTTTCAGAACAGTACTGTCAACCACAGTGCCTGAAAGGGGAAGAGAGAGAGAGAGAGAGAGAGAGAGAGAGAGAGAGAGCCACAAAGGCAGGCTGCAGGAACTGAGTGGGGGAGGCAG